CTTTTCTGCTGTGCTGCTGTCATAACTTAAAATAAGTTTAGATAAGGAAATGTTACTAAACTTACTGTAACCAAAGTTCAATGTAGCTACAGCTGTTCACCATATCCAACATAATGTGATGTAAAAAGAACTGCAGGAAATTTGTAAGATAAGTTCATAGTTTGAAGTGTTTTTTTTCCTGTTAATGCATATAAAAATGTTAAAATATCATATTTTTGTGAAGGTTTAGAGAATTCTATCAAAGGAAGGGTGGGGGATTTTTGTACTGCGGATGTTGTTTGCACTTACACAGATTTCTCCAGTAGTTAACCAACTCTAAGAACATTTCTTCTGCAACTTTCCCATGAACTAAGGCGTCAAATGAAGAGGAAGTCACAGTGTGGTTGTTTGAGGTAGTTGAGAAGCATTTACCTACTTGGGGTCTACCTCATCCTTGAGGTTGGACAGTGCATTAAGTACTGCATGTAGGTCAGTGAAAGTCTTTCTTTGAAACATCACTGATTAACCCTGACTGACACAGCAGGGTCACAGCCATTACACCGTCATCAGGACTTCAGATCTGTCCTTTACTACTTAATGCTACACATTACATCAGACTGTGTCACTGAATGGCTTTTAAAGTTGCATGTCTGTGAGAACAGAGTGCTGAGTGAGCAGGTCACCTGTTGGTGGAGGGGGTGGGGGTTGAGGGTGACGAAGGCCGAATGAATCAGAAATAAAGACAGTAAAAGAATCAAGAAGTTATATATATTGTAGATTTAAGGACAGTGTGCTTGCAAAATCTCCTCATGTATAAATGTACGCCTGGTCTTCAGCCTATGAACAGCCAAACCTGTTTAATCTAGATTTTAATGTACCTTAAACTGCATTTCTTTACATAGGTTATATTTGACTGTTACACTTGGCATTTTTATTTCACTCTTATGTCCGATTTCCGGTTCTTTGCTTTTATCTTAATTATTTTCCCTGAATTATTCTTTTCTCACAGATTTTAACAGCAAATTTTTGGCTGCAAGTTCGCAAATGCAAATCTACTGAAATGCTGTAATTTGCATAAATGTGCAAGATCACTGATACTCAAACTACATATATGTGCAAAGTTTTGAAATTTCCAATGTACTTCTGTATAATTTGCTCCAAAATAGAGAGAAAGGTGCGGGCACTTACACACAAACTCACGCACGCACACACACACACACACACACACACACACACACACACACACACACACACACACACACACACACACACATTGCAAAGCAGTCAGTGCCCTTTGCAGCTTGTGCCATTTTGCTGAGCTTAGGTCAGCTTTCTCAAGAGGCATGAATGCATTAACCTGGTTTTGAAGGCTAATAAATCTCAAAGGAGCGCGCTTAAGTAGAGAATGACTGATTGTGTGCAACAGAATAAAGAAACAGGTACTAAGTTAAAGAGGAAAAAAACATACTCCTACAGAAACAGTAAATGCACCTATTTCACTATATTGCACTTGATGTGACTTGATAACACGAAAGTGGATGAAGTCGGTCAAACAGTGACACTGAAACTTCCTCCTCCCAATTTACTCCCGGCGAAGACATGTTTGAAAGCCAAAACCCCAAATCAGTGTGTGTACCAAAGAAAATTTAGTATGTAAATGGTTAAGTGAACTACACTAAGGGCCTGTCTCCACTGACAGCATGCTTTGCACAACCTTAATTTAAGAGGGCTTTTTGTTAATGCTGCAAAGGCACCAGAGTGTCCCCTGGCACTACAGCTTCCCTTGATAAATAATGTTAATCCATTTAAAGAGCTCTTCACGCTTCATATTTGTTTTTATCTGATGGAAGTTTCCAAAGAGAACGTCACACATTTAGATGGTGTCATAGCATGAGCAGCACCTCTGGAAATGGTATTTTTTTCCTCCTCCATATGAACCACGAAAGTCCTCCCTCTTTTTATCTTTGATAAGTGTGAGATTGAGAGGTGACATCGACCAGAACAGAGATGTTCTAAAAGTTAAACTATTTTGATAAGAGCGATAAAGAAAGAAACAGCAGAGGCTCAGGGCATGTTTCCACTCATGATACTGAACACTAAAAATGCTGAACTTAACCGGTTTTATCAGATTTATCTCATCACACTCGCACACAAATGGCTTTGGGTGCATTTTGAGTTCAGTGCTTTGCTCAAGAGCACTGTGAATGCGGACTGCAGGATCGAGGGATTGAACCCTGTTATACTGTTTAGAAGCCCACCCGCTCTGCCTCTGATCCATAGCTGACTATGTTGGAAACAAACAGAAGAAAATCATGTTGACAAATGTTTTTGTCAGAGTTATTAATGGAGCAGCAGAGTGAAGTTGTCCCCTTTTCACCTGTAGCCTCTGTGTGAACCGCCGCCACCATGCTCTCTGAATTGATCAACAAAAGTTTGGTCATGTTTTATCATCACTTTGACACGTACACTCACACATGAACGGATGAGCTTATCTTGTGAATAAAAGCTCTGTCATGTCCATATCAATTTTTTGCAGGCATGTCTAAGTAATAAACACACATGCAGACACACAGACACACACTCTATTACCACAGGCGCACACTTAAGCAATGGCCCTTAATGGACTTTTGGATAGAGAGAAATCAATGATCCGGCCTGCAGGGTTCAATCCGTGGTCAAGTTATTTTGACTGACCTCTGAGCTGCTGTTTCTTTGTCATACTGACTTCAGAAACACACAAAATGATGATAAATAGTTTAAGGAACCAGACCCAAATATGAAAACTTTGAGTAATCATCAGTGATTTCATAAATATAACGGTTCACATAGATATAGACCTTTGTGGTTTTTAAGGCCTGAGGAGTTTTCAATGATAACATACTCAAACTTTCTAATGACATAGCCACACATTTATGTATTTTTCATCATTTTGAATATGTTTTAATCCAAATGTATTTGATCAAATGTTTTTCTTGATTCAGTGTTTTTTTTAGCTTGATCTCAATGAGGTTATGTCTGTTTTACAACACTTTTTTTCACTTATTCTTGAGCTTAAAAGAAAAAAAAATATTTTAACAATAATGTGATTTAAGCAGTGATGCACATTATGAATTTTGAGCCAACTCTAATAACCAATAATAACTTTGTACTTGTCGTGTGGTTAACATATAAATAACAAAGACCAGCTCTGACTCATTAATTGCCGTTTTATTTTTTATTTTATACTGTGAACTGGTGCACTCCTGTGCATGCAATGATGTGTCTCTCATGTAAGTCTTCATACAGCCCAGCCTCATACTCACTGTGTGTGGACTCAGGAGTCTATATCTCTTTTGTAAAACTCTTTCACAGATGTGAATGTCAGGTTGACTTTGATAATTACATGGTGATTTTTATTATCTTGGATATGTTTTTCAAAGTTTGTCTTATTCAAGTTTCAGTTTCATCCACACACATGCTTCTTATATCTCCTTACTTTTGATTTATTTATTGTGAAATAGAAAACAATATAAACAAACTTACATTTTAATCATACTGTGAGAGTGTACAGTTCATAGTATATATAAGCTGGTAAAAATCCTTTGTTTACCAGCTTATTTATACAGAGTTGGATCATCAAGAGCTGTAAATTCAGTCATTTTGATGATAATGCTCTTGAGTTATAGCTACAGTTCTACTTTTGCCTATGTCTACCATCATGTTTTTTAGGTGATTTGATATAATAAAACTTGTGGCATATGTTAAGCAAGCTGTAATCATATTATCCTACTCTGAAATAATGATCGTCAAACACACAGGTGACACCATTTTTTATTTCTTAATCCACATGTTGTGTTCTTCTTCCTTAGTGTGTCATGGCATCCTGCCTCACCATGTTGAAACGTGATGACTTGTAAATAAATAACTGAAAGTGACTTTGCTCTGTTGTTTTTCATCAGATAAAACTGTGTAATCAGAACAATAAATAAAAGATTGTCTTTATTGTGCCAACACCCGTCTGCTCAAGAGACTGTGTACCATGTGTCCTCAGTTATAATATGAATCGAGTGTTATTCCCATTGAGGGTTGAATGTATTTGTCACAAAGGTATCTTGTATAATAAACTGAGTGTCACTCACCAAAAGTAAACTCATTAAATGCACGTTTCCTTATAATTATTATTCAATTATTGTGTATACCCCCTTTTTATAAGTTGTTTGTGTGTTTTCAGAAATCTCTTGTATTGTGTTTGAAGACATTTTTCTAACATTCAACACTTTTGAATGTCTCCACCAACAACAACTTTCACACCTCAACATGAAGAGTGTGTGGTGAATCATGCACACACGTATGCGATTTTATGCAACTGTCAAAACAAAGAAAAATCATTATTTCATGATGTAACCAGTTACTTCTTTTTTACTTGAGCATCTCATATCAAAAACATGCTGCATTTAACAGTCATATGCAAGAGACTTTTATGACACTTCAGTCTGGACAGGCTGCAGCTGGTACAAATTTAAGTTTGTTGTTATTTGGGTATGACACTCAAAGAAGAGTTTCCTCTTGTTTAACAAAAGATGTTTGAGAGCTGTCGCTACCCCATATGTACCGCGCATGTGCTAAATGTAACGTCACTTCCTCTACTAGCCATCTTTGCAACAGCTCAGCAATTCTTTGCCCCTAGCGGTTTGCAACAGCTTCGGCACTTGTTCGACAGCTTCAGCATCAGCGAGCTCGCTTCAGTCAGAATGGATGGTTCAGTTTATCACCAGCTACACGCTATGGACTGAAGCAGGGGTGCACAATGGGTGGCCACACACCTCCAGAGCATCCCTCCTTGATACTTTGAAAAGTCAGAGAACCATAACTTTGACTGGGTGGTGGCGCTCTCTGTGGCCCAAAAGGTCTCACTGTGCTGGGCAGGTGCTCTGGCAAATGCTTTGGCATTAGTCCTGGAGCTTCTTGCTAGCTAGCCTGTCACATCACCAGCTAGTTTCTGAAATCAAACGGTAATTTAAATTAAGTTTTTAAGGTGATGTAAATTTGCACTTGCACTATACAGATTGGGTAGGTAACCATAGTAAAGACTAACTGACATAAAATGCACTGACATACGAGGAGAAGTGACGTTCATTTCACACATGCACCGTACAAATCAGGTTTCCGGGACGGACAACAACAGCTGCTCAAGCAGTAAAGTCATTTAATGTTTTAGGAAACCATGTGTATCAAAGTACTAAAGCTACAGAAATACACTGCAGGCAAAATTTGGTTCCAGCTGGTTTTTAGTGTCCAAAAAATCATCGTCATTCCCATAGATCTCAGTGGTTACTTCGAACATACCTCCCATATCAATCCCAACTAAATAAAAATGATTTTTTCTGCAATATTTCCAGGGAGAGGGTGGTCTTGCAAAAGCCCAAATCGTTGTTGTCAAACAAAGCCATGGATTTATCTACTCGTGATAGTCTTTTGGATGTAGATTATTGAAAGCTCACTCTTGCACAACTGTTACTAATGCAGTGATCCACTCACTGGTAACTGTAGGGGGCTGATTTTCACCGCTTTAAAGAAATCATTTGTGTCAACAAACCCCAACGGCTGCAAAAGAAAGCAAGGATGAGCACAAGCAAAAAGTGGAGCAAAAAACTTTGAAAAAGTGCTTCCGGTCAAGCAGCGTTTTCATTTCATGCATCCCAGACCTGGAACCAAATACCAAGCTCAATGTGTGAACGACAGACTCTGACTTCCCTCTCCAAACAATTCAGAGCATGGTTGTTGGAAACCAGATCTGTGATCATAACCATGAGCTCCCAAGCAGCTAGCGCTTTGCACTTTAGCACTTGGCACTAGTTAGCACTCCGGCACTGTGTAATTCAGTGTGTGGTGTCCCAACTCTCAGCCTGTTTTTATTTTTGGTTTTGATGTCATCTATATTGTTGCTGATATGCTCTGTGTGTTTCACTCCTATTATTGATGTTTGTTTTTGTTTTTATGTATTGATACCAACCTGCTGATGACAGGACTGGGGATGGAAATTAGCCTCTTGGCTATGACGCCATGCATTTACATGTTAATGTTCAGTAATGCATATTGCACCATTTAAAATAATTGAATCCGAAGTCCTACCTGAAGCACAAAGTGATGAAGGGCTAAGTACGACCTTTGGTGAAAATGTGTCCTTGTCATGTAAATATTTAAAAAGTTTAATGTAAAAAATGACGTAGAGTTAAAAAGCTACAGTGATATAAAGATGGGCTAAACAGTGTTAAATAAATAAATAACCCTGCAACTAACCGGTGCTGCACACATTTGCCAGACCCAACCAAAACAAGACCTTATATGTCAGCCTGTTTGTTTCTCTGCACATTTTTCTCCCTGTGTGTGTGTGTGTGTGTGTGTGTGTGTGTGTGTGTGTGTATGTGCATGCATGCATGTGTGTCTGTGTGTACTGAACCCAGAGCAACAAATGTGTCTGGCACATGGGTTTTTTTTTCATGTGTAGCTGTGAACGTGCAGCGGCAGAGAGGATTTACAGGAATTGGAGGAGAGGTAAATCAACAACAGCTCTGCAACAACTGATGCCACAACCTGTTGCCTGAAAAGAAAAAAAAAGGCAAAGGTGTGTTTGATGTGTGTGAGAGAGAAACAGGTGAATGAGCTACACACCCACATCATCTCCAACGGACCCTGAGTTCATTCATTCATTTTTTCAAGGGTAAAATACAACATACAAAGATAAACACAAAGTATTAGCAGCATTCATCAGCACTCAGTAGACTTTAGGATTTAAAGATGAAAATGCAATCAAATAGGAAAAGGTTACAGTATAAAACAAAAGACAAATTTAGCAGTGACATATAGTTGCAGAGTCAGACACAAGTCCGAGTTTGTAGCCAAAATAACATGTTTTTTCTCAAAGACAGTAATTTGCAATTAACATGGGACCATTTTTTCAACATTATGAATAATGGCTCATCTTTAGCTCACGCTCTGTAACTATTCCTCCTTTAAAGATATGTATTATACAAGGCAGATATGATTTAAAGTGTACCATGATAGTTTGATTCATACAGGAGATTTTGCATTAAAAAAAAAAGTTTAGTAAAAAATTTCCTTGCATAGCTTAGGGAACTGTATCTTCACACCTTTGTCCTCTCCATTGAGCAGCAAATCATTTTCTTGCTTGCACTGACAGGAAGTACTGTGAACCACACACTATATGGGCCAGTTCTCTAGTACTATAACAGGAAAAACCCCTGAATTAAGCTGTTCACGTATGCTTGGTTGTGCTCTAATTTCCTGTCAGGTAAACAGGCAAGCCTGTTCTCGTATAATTAGTACCGTTACATTAAACTAAAAAAAAAAAGCCACATCCAAATCCTAACCAGAGAAACACACACACAAATTCACACAGAAATAGGAACTACAAACTAAAAGCTGCAACATCCATGAAAGAGAGGTCTTAGTGAGAGTTAACATCCTAACGGGTGAATCTAGTTTCCCAGAAGTTTTTTTTGTTTTGTTTAGAAAACTATTGAGGGCAGAATAAACCAAGCTAAATGATTGCTTCATATATCCTGAGATTGCATCATGATGATTAATGCTCAAATTATCCAAACCATGCGATTCTTTCCACCCTTTCGATTTTGGGCCTGTCTCAAGTTGATATTTGAGATTACAGAGTTGCTCAACATTTTAATTTGTTTTCTCTCTCATGGGGAATAAAGGTTAAGCAAACTGCCATTCCTGCAGTGGGTCTAGAGCCAACAACGTCAACATTCAAACTGTGAGCTGCATGATGAACTTTGTCTTAAAAAGAAGTCTCAGCAGGGATTTTCTCTGCAAACCACAAGTCATCAGCAAAGACTGACGATGGCACAAATGCATGCTCCAGGTGTGAGAAAGAGTATGCATGTCTTTTGGGTTTTGCACACATGCATGTGCACATCAGTCTTCTTAAGCATGTATATCTATACGTCTGTGAGCTTACTTATCGATCCTGTCTGTGCGTCAGGCTGGACACTGTCTCTAATTGATCTCCTCCTCTTCTTCTTCTTGTGTAAAAACACCGTGACTGATTGTTGACCTCAGAGTGCTCCTATTGTAATCTCCTGAGCTGATATCAGAACCAGAACAAACTGCTATCACCATCATTTTGTAATTTTTCACAAAGTAGCTCTGTCACTGTGGTAAGCGTTATATCAAATAAGATGGTGTGCTTGTTTTATGAATGCATGTCTGTCCTTATTAAAAGTTGAAAAGCTGAGATACATCACATATGTGTGATCCACTGCAGACAGAGAAAAATCCAACCAGGAAAGTGATGACTTTTCTAAATAACACTCTACAACACCATGTTCAGAAGGTCTGTCCCATTGAGGAGTTGTGTGTGTTTACTCATTTAATCCTAATGACTTCAGATAAAAGAAACAGACAACACTGTGATTCAGATTGACCACCGCCTACAGAGCTGATAGCCAGCAGTGGAAACTGATCAAGTCTGAATGGTTGGTATTGAGTATTGATCGTTTGTGATCAAGGTCAACACTGCAATCATGGTCTGCTGCTTTGATTAAATCTCCATATGAAAGCTTGAGCCACAGACTAATCCAGATAGAGCGGAGACTCTTCAGATAAAAGCCTGTATTGATAAAGGCAAGGAGATTGAACGGATTTGGGTTGATGTTACCACCCTAAAGTGTTCTGTAACACAAGGAAAAAAATACCCAAAGTTATTGATAGTCCTTCCTTTCATACATCTTAAAACCAGACCACTTTCTCAGAGGCAGAATGACAGATGGACATGCCCATTTTTATGTATGAGAATCATGTAGTGCAAAATATCCGATCACAACTTTATCACTTGCATTCAATTTTTTGTTACACAACAGACGATTGGCCAAAGTCGTTACTGTCTCCTGTGTGTGTTGTTAAAGAGATGGTCAATGGCACTTTCATGTCTGTATTGTAAAGACAATAGTCCATTTAACAGCTAGTTAGCATGACTTAGTTGGAGGCTATGGACTCTTTAGATCTCATTACATGTGTACAAATGCCACAGTAAAAAAAACGATATACTTCATAGGCACTGTCTGAGGACTGCTAAAGACTTACTAATAACACTTTAAGATGCAGTCTGAAATGAGATGCAGTCTGTCTGAAATGAGTGTCAGTGACACTCATTTCAGACGGACATTACACTTCAGAAACTTGTAACTGTTGAAGTGTTTGTGTCTGATTTCTCATGTAAATGCCTATTTTAAGCTATCCAAGACTAGTTTTGAAATATGAGCTTTATCCAAACTTGTCAAGTGAGTGTGGTTTATGTTTAAGATATGCTTTGCAGAAATGGAAATGAAATGCGATATCTCACTGTGAGCCACCACTTTCTCTCTATTTTGCATAACCACTCACTACGCACACAAGAGCATGTGTTATTAGTTTTCTAGTATAGATATGGCAGTGCAAGATGGCAGCCTAGATATAAGGGGACCTGTTCCCATGTAGATATAAAGAGTAAAACAAAAACAAAATACAAATATGCAGGTAATTACACAAAAAATGTGAACATCTGTACTTCATTTCTACCAAGTCTGTTCTGCTAAATGCAGCTACACACTGTTCTTTTTAGTCTAGTGAGATACCTTCAATTTTATGTAGGCCTATTGGCAAAACAAGATGAAACACTTGCCCAGTTTGGAGTTTTGCAGAGTGTAGACCTTATTTTAGTCTTTAAACTTACAATAGCTCTACTGCTATTTAATGATCATTATGTAAAATTACCACTCAAATTTTTGACAGTTAAAATGCTCAATACTCATGATAGCCTCTGTGATGATGATCGAATAGATGCAGTGCCGTGTAAACCATGTTTAATGCTGTATTAAGCTGAGATGGACCTTATTTTCATTTAACACTTATTTGCATGTTATGTAATGCAGAATTATGTTGTATATGCATAGGTATTTCTTAATTTAATTTAGTTTAATATTTAATTTAACCAGGAACACCAACCCTTGGATGCGTTGTATATGCAGCGGCAGAAAAAGTAGGCCACTGTGGATATCGGACACGTTATAAAACGATAAAACGGACAGCAATGCATACACAGACACTTTTTTATACATCAAGAGTCACTTCAGCCAGTGGTCAGTGAGCCATGCTCTACCTTGACACTGTGAGAGTCTGAACTGGTGCCAAACTTAAGGACAGGGACCTGTAGCAGGTCAAGTTAATGTGTGACAAACTTTGGCTTTCAGGCACCATTGTGAAATGGTGAGTATGTGCAAGCCGTGCAGAGCTATCCAGGCAGAGAGGGAGGGTTTTATCGTGAAAGGGGCTTATCTCAGCGATTGATCCTCAGGTATAAATTGCCGTCGATGGTTGCCACTCAGTGTGGACACGCTACTTCAGTAGAGCTGTACCTAAAACCTTTGACTCTCTTCTTCTTCTCACATTTCAACCAACACCGTCTTCTTCATCAGTCATGGGAGTTGCATACAGCGTCGGAGAGTAAGTAAAGCTGTACATGTGTATATATCATGCAACATTTAAGAAAATAGCTGTTTTGAAAATAAGGTTAGTGTTAAGTTGAAGAAATTTGCTTTGATGCTTTTTAATTTCACTAAAGCAAGAAACTGTGGGGTTGAATCTTTAACTCATGTCTTGATATGAGCTTTGAATGTGTTAAGGCAGAAACAAAGGTTGTTGCAGCACAGAGTAAAAACTTCTGGGAGTTTAAAATTGAGTGCATGTGTGATAGACAGAGGCAGAGACAGAGGGCAAAGGGGTGGGGGCTTCTTGATTACAGTGACGTATCCAAACAGTAAAAGTAGGTTTACTTTGACTTCCAGGATTTTACTCCCAGCTGCTCTGCGGTGGTTCTTGTACAGACAGCCAAGTCGCTCCCAAAAAAGGGTTTCCTGGTCTTCCAAGTGTCCTCAGGAAACCCCAGAGAGCAGTCCTCCTAATTTTCAGGGAATAATTCCTTTCCAGTCTGGTTATGCCCGTACATGATTCAACAAACATCAGTGATGCAGGGTGACGTTTAATGAACTTTTGGGTTTCTGTTCTTATCCTGAGGGAGAGAGGTTGAGCCAATTGTCTTAAACTAAATGTATCACAGTCAGAGGTGACAAATAGTGTAACTTACAGTCTCTCAACTATGGTTGTTATTTGAATGGCTCTCTCTCAGTGTTGTTTTTTTTTCTTTTAAGCTCATCAAAAAATGATACAATCCCTTTAAGCCCAGTGGACCAATCAAATGCTCTTCTTGAGTAAACAACGAGATGATTATCTGTCAATAATACGTGTCCTTTGTTGTCTCTTCTCTCCTAAGGGTCGACCACCTCTACACCTTCTTTGTGCAGTGGTCACCTGAAATATACAAGAAGAGCAACAAGAAGCAACCCCAGCCCCGCTACCTCATTAGGGAGAAACACCAGAACCGCTACCTGGTGGTGGAGAAGAACAAGGTGGCTGTGATCAACAAGCTCTTGAGTGACCCTGCAAACAGCTCTGCAAAAAACTGGGAGGTACGTTTCTGAAGAAGAAAAAAACAAAAGCAAAAAAAACTGTCTCTTTAGTGCAAATATCTGAAGACAGGCCTCATCCAGTATCCCTGATTTACTGTAACTGAGGCAGTTATGGGCTTGGCAGTCATCCAGGAGGTTGTGGGAAAACCCATTGTAACCATATATGAACATCCTGCCTTGCAGCGTCTTGCACACTTTCCTGTTTAGAGAGAAAAGAAACTGTTCAGTGTTCGTCAGTAGAAAATCCCGCCCGCAAGTTCCCAGCCAATAGCATTTCGAACCAAGAAAGTGAAAGTTATCCTGTGGGTATAAGTAATGGATGCTGGCTGGTGTAGCAAGCAAACATGCGGTCCCTCAGAGTACAGATCCTGAAAGGGAAACCAGAAGCTATGAAGCAGCTACCAGAGAATATTAAAGTGCTCTTTTTTGCCAGTGACTGTATGGAGCCGTATGTCCAGGTAAGACTCAGATACTTCAAGTTAACATGCTTGATTTAAACCTTTAAACTGGATTTTTTTCAGTCAGCATCCATTCATCCTTCCTTATAGGTTGTCATTCAGCATTAGAAACTCACTCGTTACAATGCTCCCTGAATCGTGTAACCTCCTACTCTATCACACTTTTTTTTGCACAGCCGGTCTGTAGATGAGTCACAAAAAAGCCATAAATCTGTGTGTCTTTCGAATAAAAAATATGAGGTTACAGTGTTGAAGTGATTAATGGTGTTATATAACTTTCCTGATGGTTATATCTTTCAGATTGTCACTGTTCAGGAAACAAAGCGGCGCATGAGCTTGTGTAGCTCTGAGGACTCAGAGGCAGAGGAGCCTGAGTACCAGGAGGAAAGTGAAGATGTTCTCCCTGTGCTGGACGACCACAGCCAGCTGCTGGACGACCACCACCTGAAGATGGTGAGCTATACTCTAACTGTTTCATAAACCCAGAGCTTTGTGGTTGAAAATACCCACTTTTATTCCTTTCTGTCAGACGTCTTTTGATTGAAATCTGTTTTCTAACAGCTTGCCACACAAATGCCAGCAAGGACCCAGGGTTATTCATGGCAGCTGGTCTACAGCACAGCCGTCCATGGGAGCAGCCTGAAGACTCTGTACAGGAACATGGCCAGCCTGGACAGCCCGGTGCTTCTGGTCATTAAAGACATGCAAAAAAAGGTTAGCATCTTCATAGTCAAGACTTTTAAGACCATAATTGAACAAAATAATGATCAGAGTAATTTTGGGAATATCACCAATGAGCTTCTGTCTCCATACTTTCAGGTGTTTGGGGCTTTTTCTTCAGATCCATTCAAAGTCAGTAAATACTCCTACGGCACAGGAGAAACTTTCCTGTTCAGCTTCAACCCTGAATTTCAGGTAAGAGTGGAATTTTTTCTTGTTACCTATTAAGTGGCTGTAAATGATGACATGTATAAACATTTTAGACTTTTTTTCTTGTTTTAGTCAAGTTTCTGATGTTTTACATTGTTTTCACATCTTTTCAGGCATACAGGTGGAGTGGAGAAAACTCCTATTTTGTAAGCGGCAACCTTGAATCTCTGCAGATTGGTGGAGGAGGGTAAGTTAATGATTTACTTTATTGAAATAAAACTCAGTGAGGGTCATAAAGTAGTAAAAAGGGACCAGAAAATTACTACTCTAACGGCTATTGTTAAACATCTGCGATTACAGTGCCTCTTTTATCCTTGAGCAAAGAACTTTTCATGAATATTTCATTGATTTTTTTTTTCTTCTTTCTTGATCTTCAGGAGTGGATTCGGCTTGTGGTTGGACGCTGATCTGTATCATGGCTCAAGCTTTTCCTGTCCTACCTTCCACAACGCATCTCTGTCCTCACAGGAAGACTTCATTGTACAAGACCTTGAGGTCTGGACTGTACAGAACTGATAGAAACACCTGAAAAAAAGGAGATGCAAGACCTCAGAGTGGATCCTATGATCCTGTATGGAGCTACAGAACTCCATAACTAAAAGGAAGTACACGTGGTTTGACCACATGAACGACCTGATGAAGCAGCTGCTGTGATCTGTGCTCCTGGCTCCTGCTCAGGTCCGCACATACACAGAACAGAGTGTGTCCATGAGCTGGACTTAATGTTGAGGCTGCCGTGATCTGTGCCTGCTAAAGATCCAAGTAGCTAAAAGAGAGCCTGCAGATCTGGGTCCTTTAGCTACAAACTTCCAGCCTCTCAGGACCAGTCTTGTGCCTGGCCAAGTTAGAAACTGGCATCTGAAGCATCTGAAGCTTGAGGCCCTTTCTGCCCTCTGTTTGTTGTTGAGAGCATTATGATACAAAGGTCGGTGAAACACTGTTGGACATAATGTTTGTGTGACTATTGTAAGAACATTGTGAATGTAAAAAAAAAAAAACTTTTCTGTCTAACAACTATTTAAAACTTTAGGAAATTTATATGTGAATATACCTGTGTGTATGTGTACACTGCATTTTATCCTTTTCCTCCCCCACCTTGAATGCTTGTTAAAGATATTTGGTGTGTACAGGGCAAGATTATTATTTATATGGACACTGTAAAATGATACAAGCTATATCAGCTTATCTGGACTTGAGCTGAACTATAGTGACGCCTGTTTTTTTAATGGCTGTCATTAAAAAATACACCTCAAAATGACTCTGAATTTCTCCATACAAAGCTATCAGCACTGTATGAAGTTCAAAGACGGAGGGACTTTAACGGTCAACTGTAATTTATTTTCATGGAAGTGACACATCTGCCGGCTTATTTGCATACAAAAGGGAAATAAGAGGGGAGTAAAATCTTACTGTTCCAGTTTGTTCACATTTCCTCCACATTTGAGTCATTTAGGAAGTGCTGGCACTACCATTGTTATGTTGTTATGTTGTTGTTCTTCACATTAAAACTTTGTCTTTCCTGGAGAATCACAAGGTTTATATCTTTTCTATTTAATTATGAATAAAATTTCTAAAAAAAAAATCCACCCTTTTATGTTGAAACATTTTCTCTCATACAAATGATGGTAGAGCAGCATTTGATAGATACTGTTTCTTGTGACCCTCAAAGGTTTAATGGTTGCTTCACAACTGCGGCTGTGTTCATTTTTCCATGATTAAATGCACACTAGAGAAACACAAGGGAATTTGTAAGGATTAAGAGAGCAACTTAAGACAAAAATACATGACAATAGATTAGAACAAGGAGACAATAGAAGGTGGGCCTTTTGCCCGCCAGGAGCCCCAAACAGCTGATTGGGGCCCCTCTCCATAAGGGGCAGTGTAATTTTTTTGTTCATACACTTACAAAACATCATACATGAATTGATTCTTTCTCAAGACCTCGACTCTCTAAGAGCCTGCAGAGAGAAGTGAATTGGACATAGATCAGAATATACTGTATGTCCCTCTATATTTGCTGCTATTTTCACTTATCAATTAAGTAACGCACTAAGAATGAGGAAGTGCACTTTCATAATCTTAACTTTCATTACTTTGGACCGGTCTGCTAAATAGAAACCTAAGGCTTGAGTCGTAAACTAACTAAAGGACTCAAAGCTAATCGGGAGCTCTTATCAGGAGGAAGCAGGGGGCTCAATTCTGGAGAAGTTGCTGTGACAGAGTTGTATGCATATCATGATCCTTTCATATACATACATAATTATTATTTTTTAACTTAAGGTGTGAGGTGCATTAGCTCAAAAAAGCTTTATGAGAACTAGAACACTGTTTAAATCATTTTACAACAGAATTATCCTTTATTAAAAAAAAAACTTGCCTCTCAGTTTTTCTTTAATAGTTTCTATGATCTCTGTGACAGTGATACTAGTAAGAAGTATCAGGTCAAATCAATGACAGATTTAAGACAACCTTAAACTATTTTTGGCAAGAAAAAAAAAAAAGTTTCCACTTTCTTCATCATTTGGAAACTACATTCAGATCACAGCACACCCACCCGAGAAAGAGACACAAAACCACAGAAACTTCCAGTGTGCTGGTGGGAGCAGGAAGTATAAATCTACCCACTGTGGGCTTAATGTCACACACTGGTGGGCAAATGAAAGCCGGGTGCAGAAGAGGGTGTATTTATTTCATTCTTATTACTCTTTTGGGTGCCTCTAGAAACAGAAAAGCTTAAAAAAAGTAGGTAGATACCTTTTAGTGGGTGGCCGTAGATTCTGTACCATTCATTCAGAGCCCCCCTTGAGTGCCAGGTTACTTGTTGATAATACATCCCACTGCTTTTTATGCTGTTACTAACATAAACACAAGCACTCACCTGCAACATCAAACTTAAATTATAATAACCCCCGACATTATCAGCAGTGGCCAGAGCCGGTCCGAGCCTCAATGGGGCCCTAAGCCAAATTTAATTCTGGGGCCCTCTATTTCTGCCAATAATATTGATTGTTGATCATTCACACCCCTTCAAAAATCTCTTTGATTAACATGCCATGACATGGAAACATACCTTTATCTTTGCGTTTTTTCTCTTCTTCCTCTTTCTTTTCTGTGCTCCTGAAGGATGTGTCCTTTTTTGTGAAATTTTTTGGACCTACAACTACCTGCGCTTTGGATGCTCAGTGCACATTGCACAGCAGGAGGCACATAACAGTAGCAGAGCTTTAACATATCGGCAGTAAGAATCATAGGCCTACACCAGCAGCAGCAGCACTAAAATGTTTTTACTTTATTTTTGCAATAATATATATTTGATCATACAGAACGCATCACTCATACATGCAAAAAGATATTTTATTTTATTTTATTTATTTATTTATTTATTTTGGGGATTGCTCTTGGGGGTCCCCTACTGGCTGCTGGGCCCTAAGCAGGCGTTTAGTTTGCTTATGCCTTAGGCCGGCTCTGGCAGTGGCTTCATTTACAAATACTTAGTGATGGGTGGTTCAATGACACATACTCTTGATATTTGAGCGCACTGTTGGGACTGTTTAAATGAGACAGCATCACTCTTTTAACAGAGGCTCTAGCTTGGGACATCTTTTGCTGGTACACTAGGTGACATTAGGAAAGATGATACAAAGTTTACTCTTCCTGTTCTTAAAACTTCTGTAGGTAATGGCCTCACTCTGAGCTCATCCTCTCACTCGCTCTCTATTTGGAGTTTTTTTCACTTCTATGAGGTAACATTCAGTAAGTTTAACAGTGGCAAAGGGTAAAGTTGCATCACTGCATGTATCATAAACAAGGCACAGACTCCTACAATAAATTGACACAAACTAGTCCACACCTACATAGGCTATCCCATATATCCTGAGTGTTAGGCTTGAGTGTTTTGAAAGTAACTGAGACTATAACCAGTCTTTGCATGGAGATGATTGACATTAACTATCTTTAATAATAATGCATCAGACTTTATATAGTGCTTTATCAGAGACCCTCAAAGCACTTTACATTGGATACATCATTCATTTGCTCACACAGTCACACCCTGCTGGTGGTGGTAAACTACCTTAGTAGTCACAGCTGCCCTGGGGCAGACTGACAGAAACATTGCTGCCAGTTTGCACCTAAGGCCTCTCTAACCACCACTACATTCACAATCATACAGCAGTGGAGGACACACACTGGGAGCAAGGTGGGTTACGTGTCTTGCCCAAGGACACAACGGACAGACTCATGATAGGGGGGAATCAAACTATCAACCTTCTGGTTTTTGGATGACCACTCTACCTCCTGAGCTACTGCCGCCCCAAGAATGGAGTGTGACTATGCGTTTTCACTAAAGCCTAATGTTACCAAAGGAGCTCCATCAGCAGGAGTATGAAACTTTGTTGACAAATCTAAAAGGATTTCTAATTTGCACACACTACTTAAATATTTGTAAATATGGATCACAATCTGTGCACATGAATTTTCACATGGCCTTCTTTCTTCTTCACCTGGCACCAGAGGAGCTCCCTACATCAAGGCTCACACATTGGCTAGAGATTGCTCTTATTCTGTCTTCTTATGATTGAGAGCTACATTTTGAATTAACATAGGCTGTGTCCGAAATGAATCACTCAATCCCTAACCCCCATATGGGGTTCCACTATATAGTTGACTATGTAGTGAACTCAATCACCACAGGTTTCGGACACTACATGGCGAGATGCAATGCATGGCTGTGTCCGAAATGGATCCCTAACCCCTATATAGGTGACTACATGGGGGTTAGCGCCATATTGAGGGGTGTCCGAAACCTCAGTGATCAATTCCAGTGTCCAATAGGCCTATAGGTGACTCAAAATTTCCCAAAGAGCATTGCAAAATGTAGTGACCATCCGATGGTAACTTACCGGTGGTGGGCATCCCGTCATGCATAGCGTCTCGCCGTGTAATGTCCGAAACCTTCGGTAATTGAGTTCACTATATAGTGTAACTCAACTATATAGTGAAACCCCATATGGCGATTAGGGGTTAGGGATTGAGTGATTCATTTCGGACACAGCCCAATGCTTTGCAATGCTTTATGGGAGATTTTGAGTCGCCTATATAGGGCACTGGAATTGATCACTCAGGTTTCGGACACCCCTCAAAATGGCGCTAACCCCCGTGTAGTCACCTATCACTAGGTTAGGGATCCATTTCGGACACAGTCATAGCCTAACTGATGTAAGGTCAGTCTTTTGGGGAAGCTCTTTTTAAAGCACATTGATAGAGTGAACTGTGGAAGCTGTTGCTGAAAAAGAAGGGGAGGATAGGTAAGTGAGTCACGAGAATAAAACACATTAAACAACGAGGCTCTCTAGTGGCAGCTCCCCTCCTCTGCACGCTTAACATATCGACAATCTTTCCGTTTCCCCTGTCAATGTTGCTCGATAATCTCGGAGATCATTTACTCGTGCCTTAACTGTTGACAATGGCAGGCGTCGAGGCTAAAATGACACAACCTGAGCAGGTCGAGGTGTCCAAAGTGGGCAGCGTCCCACCTGAAGGCTATGACAAGAAATGTATTTTCTGCAAGATTGTTAACAATGAAATGGGCACGGAGCTTCTTCACTGTGTGAGACCACAATAACAGTCATAAATGTTGAGCGTCATGCGAGCTAGCGTTAGCCTGTTCATTTTGTAAACAGTCTTGATTAAATGCAGTGCAGTCAGCTTTGTGACATATTATGGCTTATTTATGAAGCTGAATTGAAAAGTTTTTGAGACCATTACCTGTGCATTTATTTGAACTTTAAGATATTAACGAGTTTACGCAATCTTGTTCATATCTTGAACAAAGGTTATTTTGATTACTGTGCCTTAAAACACGGCATTTTGTTTACATATTCCTGTTCAATTAGAGCTGTCACGTCCACCTGTATCTGTGTTAAGTCCTTATTGCTATTTCGTCTAAATTTGATGTACTGTTTCACATCAAAGATCCTGGATAGATTCAGCACGTATCCAGCTGCAGTTTACGGCTCAACTTACCCCTCTCCTATGGTCAACTTACCCCATACACGGGGTAAATTGACCATAGGAGACCACCTTTTTTGCATGCTATATTATCAAGACAATTATGTTTACACTCATTCTGTTGGTTTGCAGGGATGCATAACATCTTGAAATATATGCAGATACACTAGTGAGAGACAAAACTATGATTGGCTTGATGTAGTGATCCGAATACTCTCTGTGTTTACTAGTTAATTCACACTGCTGTTTTTATTTCCCTGTGCTGCAGGACGAAGAGATCTCATGTTTCAGGGACATCAAACCTGGAGCTCCACACCACTACTTAGTTGTCCCATCTAAACATGTTGGTAACTGTAAATCACTCAACAAAGACCACGTGCCTTTGGGTAAGCTAGAAAAAATTGGTTGCCCTGTAGAAAACTATTCTGGTGTCATTTCCCTTCATGTATATAGACAGTTTGACTCACAGTCCTTGGCTTCTACTGATGGTTGTAATTTAATGATGGATTTTTAAAAGCATAGCTGTAGAATATGAAAAACAACACGTGGTTCACTTTTGTGTTATCTCACATTTTTATTAAAACTGCATGCATTGGTATTTCTTGGTTGTCATATCTAGTGAAGCAGATGGTGGAGACAGGAAAGGAGATTCTCCAGAAAAACAACATAACAGACCTCAGCGATGTCAGGTGGGCCTTTCTGAGTGGTTCTTTTTTACACTTAGTCAGAGGTGGATCCAGAAGCATCTTATTATTTAACAAGGTCAAAGGTTACTCATTTCTTCTACAAATGGTGGCTGATCCTTTACTGTAAGGTGGACTGCCTCTCTGTTGGCAATCAATACTGATGATCAACACGATGTCTGTCTAGACAGACACCCAAGCAAACAATCCTTAGTGGTGGCAGGCAAAGATAAACATACTTATCCACTTCAATTTAGAGTAAACAATTAAAAACTAGAGCTCAGATAAAAACTGTGCCACGTATTGTTTGCTTTTGAAACAAGCCCACCACTTGAATGATATAACACAAAGGCAGTGGGCACTTAGTTACATCTTTCCTACATCTTTTCTTTGTCTTCGTGTCTGCAGGTTTGGCTTTCACTGGCCCCCATTCTGCTCTGTCACACACCTACACCTTCATGTCCTGGCACCTGCCAGTCAAATGAGCTTCATGTCTCGCCTCTTCTATAGGATCAACTCCTATTGGTTTATCACAGTAAGCTGCTTCTTGATTCTTATTTAAGCTACTGGATTGAACATTGTGAAACTGTGAGAAGAAATGAACCAAGGGCCTCTAATTCCCAAGTTTGAGGCTCATCAGGATGATCTGTAAAGGAATTTTGTAGCTGAAAGCAAGGACAATAAATTTATGAAGTTATGCGATGCTTTCTTACTTAAAATGATAAGCAGTTGGATGGAGATCTGGCTAAACTGGCCATACTTTTACACTATTGGGTCAGTTAGTTAGTTATCGGCTACCCTCCAATCAAATGGAGCCAATTTAGTGGGGAAAAAGAACTGCTTTGGGATTGATTTTGGTTTCAAATGAAGCAATGTTTCAGTCACATGCAGTGTAAAAATGTAAAACTGCACTTTTAACTTGTTTTCTTAATTTACGTCACTTAATATTGTCATTGAAAAAATGAACATTGCTACTCCACATCCTATTTTTTCTTATATCATATGAGCTTACACTCACATGTTAAATTCTTACCTGCAATATAGCTTGACAGTGTAGAGGTTAGTGATATAATATCTCATGACTTCACTGTTCATAAAAAATTCTCCTTGATTTGCAAAGACATAAGATGAATCTCACATGATAGCTCATTATTCTCTATAAAACACAAACATGTGGCACCACCATCCCTTACTTTATTAAGTAGGGTTAAAGTGAAGAAGAAATGATGTCGGTCTAACTTGTGTTCTCTCCACATCTGCTGATGACTTTCAGGCAGACCAGCTGATTGAACTTCTCAACTCTAAAGAGGAGACCAACTGATCACTTCCTCAAGGTCTCGTTCTTTCATAACTGGACAGTTTTTTGGTCAGTGGAGCATCCGCCCTCCTGCAGGTGTCATTCAGGACAAACACACTGATTTGCTGTCTGTATTGGAAGATGATGACAGTCATTTAAACTGGTGGAAAAAATCATGAGGGACCGCTTCAGTTAAGACATTTGATTGTTCCAGACTAGAAAGGAATTGTAACTGTAAGGAAAGCCACATCTTTCTCTTTTAGTTTGAGATATGTCGCCTAAATACTTATAAAAAGTCTGCTTAATTACCATAATTCTGCTGAAACTTTATTATCACTTTATGGACCAAGTGCAGTGTTGACTACGTCTTTTGATCACCAAAGTCCTGAGAAAATGCATTGATTACTGAAATTCCTCTTGAACAGTTGTTTGAAATACTGGTTTGCAAACCTCATTTTCTGTGAAAACAAATAAGAAATCTGTGTTCTCACTTTCTCAGGTACTCTTTGTTCAGAGTCCTCACTGATGGGCATGTTTTGGCCAAACTGATGTAACTCATAGTACAGAGTAAGATCATCGCTAGCTAGTAATGAGGCTTCTGTAAGTGGAAGCAATTAATCATCCTCATATACTCTGAAGTATGTTCACTGGTCTCAACACTGCTAAAAGTAAGGAATGTTTTGTTAATCAGAATTTGATTTGAGACTGTGAAATGTGGTCAGATGCATATTACAAACTGACAGGTAACTGTGTGAAGGTAATCCGTTTATTATGCTGTTTTAATGTATATAAAATTATGCTGTATGTACTGTAAAGAGTGTATGCACTTTATGATTGAGTTTATTATAAAATAAATCATGTCTTGCTGCTTGTCAGTGTGTTCCTAATGAAGTTTACACTTTCTCCTGTAGTTAGTTACATGGGTCAGTGCTTCAGGTTCAGTGTGCATTCATACACTGAAAAAAAAGTGTTATTTACTTAAACTTAGGAAGGTTTTTCCACTCACAGATTCTAAGGAAATTTAACAAGGGGTATTATCAAGTGAACTGCACTGATATACTGATGATATCACACCATGCTCCCTGATCAGATCTCATCCTGCCTTGCTGATATTTTTTAATGGATGAGGGAACGTCACCTACAGCTCAACCTGTCCAAGACTGAGCTTATTATCATTGCAGCCAGTCCCACTGTGGACCCACAGATCAATATCCAGTTTGGATCTTATAACCTCATGCTTGCTAAGTCTGCCTATAATCTGGTTGTCATGATTGATGACCAGCAAACCTGCAGGATTCATGTTGCCTCAATTACTTGGTTCCGCCCTTTTTTTCCCCACTATAACAATAAGAGGATCAGACCTGGACCTACTTGTTACAGCAATATCAAAATGTACATGTACTTTATATATGGAAATATCAAGATGTACATGTATTTCTCATTGCATTCTTTTTCTTCCTAAATCAAGACACAGGTAAGAGTTGCTTTAAATTGTTAATATGGATTTGAAAATATTTTGAAATGCAAAATAATGGAACTTTTAAATACAATATTTTTATAATCCTGAACAAAGACTGTGACGGTAGATCTGCTGCTCTCTCTGCTTCTGGTTAAACCAAATTATATCTTAATAAACTTCAATAAGCTTTAATCAGGTTTGAGCATCTGTTTCAACTTGATTATGATATTTGTGGTTGAGATATTAACCCTTTCTGTGAAGCTGCCGTTTTTTGAGGATTGGAATAGCCTATGGAAAATTGCATGATGCAGGAAATATCAAATGAGGCCTGTGTGAAGAGCTCTCTCAAGAACACAAATACTGTGCAATTGTTTAACTCTGTTTTTTCCGCATGTCGCTGATTTAAACTTGCATTCGTATCACGGAAATTTAGAGTTTACAGCTCACTATCATAGAATCAGATGAACAAACCAGCAAAGAGTCGAAAAGATCGAGCCAGCCAGGAGTCGAACCTAGAATCTTCTGATCCGTAGTCAGACGCGTTATCCATTGCGCCACTGGCCCGCATACCAACGTGAACGTCACGTGTCTAATTTAAAACAATCACGTGATCGTTCGAAACCCTAACTTGTTTCAGGGTTAGGGTTTTCATTAATGTAAATTTACTGACACTGTACAATTTTTATTTTTGAATAATGGATAATGATTATAACTATTCAAAGTTAACGTCGAAAGTAGATTTATTAACGCATAAAATAAACCAATCTCAGGTTTTAAAAAGTTCGTTACTGGTAACACCTTCTTTGACCAGCAGATGTCACCCTCGCACTTAGATACACGGGCATATTTATAAGGCGACTGTCTATGTATTTCAGAGGTGCGTTTGTTTTAAATCCACTTCAGTCCTTCTGATGTAAATTGACTTCGGTGCATCCACAAGTGGTCTTCTGTATGCATAGATGCTAAATGCTCCCTCCAGTATTCCTAATGACAGTCAACCTACATGAAAATGGGCTTTATTATCTGTCTTTGTTTGTTTGTTGATTGTGTGCTTGTTTATATATATGTAATAGGCAACCGAAATAGACGATCGTAAGATATGACTTTTCTAGTGTATATTGTGGTGTGTGAAAACAGAGAAAGAAAGCATTCTCTTTAAATGGTTTAAGTTATATTCCCAGTGCATCTTCAAATTTTAATGTAGTTGGATTTCATAACGGTAGATCCATGTTTTACCTTGCCTTTTCTCTTTTGTATCTTTTTATTGATGGCATTTCAGTGAACATTTCATTCATTCAAATCCGTTGCCATACTATATGACTGTGTAGATTTTTATGGTACGGTGGCCGAAAACCGCCACTGCTGCAAAAAAAAAAAAAAGAACGAAAAAAAAAAAAAAGCCACAACAGAAGTTACTGATCAGTAACTTCCGTTGTGGCTTTTTTTTCATTCTTTTTTATTTGCAGCAGTGGCTGTTCTCAGCCACCGTATTATTGCTTAGGAAAAGGCAATAAGGCAGGTAGTGACATTTTTCATTTAGCAAATTATGACTTCTAAGAAATCCAAGTTGTAGAAAAAAGATTGTTCGACTGCACACATCCCGCCCTTGCCTTTTGTCGGGCTGTACTGGGTAATGAATCGAGCAAACCCACGGGCCTCTGTAACCCCGCCCCCATGGTCAACTCCCCTCCTGACGTCAGTAGAGTCCTCCCAATGCGGGGGCTGTGTGGATGGGCACTGGCTGCACCGTGGAGGAAAACGTGCATTCATCCAGTCTGTGCTGTATGGTAGTGACAAACAAACGGCCACAGCGCGCGAACAAAAACTCAGCTGTATTTACATCCGGACATCCAAACATCAGGGATTTGTATCTTTGCATGCTTGCATGAACATCTGTGTGCAGGTTTCGGAGGTGTTGGAGGTTTTCGAGGATGTAAAAGTGGACTGCAAAAGCTGGAGCTGCTGGCGCTCCAAGGCTGGGTTGTGACTTCAGAAATCCCCGCTGTTGTTCCACGTTTCCACGGATGGAATAATCATCTTTTTCATTCATCAAAGGGATAATAAACCCCCCACTCTTTCGTCCTCCATGGTGCTTGAAGGGTAAGCAAAAATAAGGTGTCAGTGCATTGTTATCCTGTCGAGTGTGCACCGCGTGGATGCTTACACACCTATGTTTTTCAATCCATTCGTTCCTCTTTTTGTGTATTTGTCAGATGGTGCACACTTTGCTGCACAACAACTTTAACTTATTTAGAAAAATGCAAGAGTGGTGCATTTCTCCTGTGCAGAATGATGTCATTGTACGAGGCTGTTTGGCAACAAAACCCATCCTCGCCTTGTGGGTGTGTGTGTGTCTCTTGTGGTAGCAGGGAGATGGACGGGATCGGGAACACCATGCAGAAGAAGGCTGCAGAGCTGGAGCGGCTGGCCGAGGTGCTCGTCACCGGGGAGCAGCTGAGGTAGGTCGGCCAAGAATCTCTGCTAAGCCCTGGATGTGCGGAGGGTCACGTATTTTGGACATTTTTTGTCATGATTATTATGCAAAAGTGAGCATCATACTCAAAAATATTCAGTGGAAATCACCTCATGAATGTGTTCAATTAAAATACTGTTTAATAAGTGAGTTTTAAGGCTCAGGTTTGTACGTTTTGATGCCCAGATTGGGACAATCAGGACATGACAGGACATGACACACTTACTGAGAGCAGTGGGTCTTGTGAGCATGTGTGGCAGCAGGTTAATGATCATGCATGAAGCCCCCCCTCCCTGCAAACTGGCACTACACGCAGTTTCATCTCCACTGCAGCATGCAAAGCCAAACAAAGGCACCAACACATGAACAAGCTTCCCAGTGCACACCACTTCTCCTCAGTCATTGCGCGCACATTAAGCATGAAATGTTACATGCTCAATGTGACTTCACTAAATGAACTATGTAGAATCCTGTTGTTTAGAGCTGAATGCATGAATCATGTTCAAGCCACAAAGCCTGTATCATTATCATGCCCTGCCCATCCAACCTGTCAGGGAATTGTATCACCAACCCGGGCTGTTTTGTTGGCATGCTGCGTCCTTTGACCTGGTGTATGTGAAGAGAGGCCACATAGCGCTGTGTTGCTCACACTCCCAGCAATGAATAGAGGCTCGGTGGTTAAAAGCATGGCATCAATGCCTGGAATTTCAGATCCTCTCTGGACTACGAGCAAAATACACCGCTCTCTTTCTATGCTGTGTGGTATAGACGGAGCTTTTGCTGATTTAATTGGAGTATTTTTATATGCTGTTCATCCTCAGCTCAGAAGAATCATATATTGTAACAGTCATCACTTTTGGAGACTCACAGTTTGCGTCTCTTAAGTGTATTCCTGCTGAGCACCAGTGTATTTCCCTGTTTGTCATCATGGACTGTGTGTGAGTGTGTCCCTGGCACAGCTGTACACTGAGGCTGCCAGCTGGCACTGTTGCCAGTGCCACAGTGTCAGTGAACGGAGGTTCTTGAGGTGTCTGTCCCTAAGTCCTCTACCTCTGAGACCCTTCTGCTCAGGGGGAAAGGGCTTAAAGTTGTGCCTCTCCAGGTTTGATGTTAGTCCTTAAACCTCTTTCTTTTCCCTCCAACAACAAAATATTCCAGTGTTACATTTTTATGAAGCCTCACTATCAGGTCACATATTTGATTTGAACTGTTTTTTCATTCTAACAGAACGTATGACTGCACTGATATACTTATCTTAGATTAAATGATATCCATCAGTCATTAAGAAAGTTAGTTATGTGTCTACTTTTCACAATATAACCGTTTGCTTAAAATTAAACAAGCAAACGGGATGACAGCATTTTGCAATATCTTGATTTATAAAGCTTATATCCATACTAGGGCATTCTTGTCCATACATGTCATAGTCTCTTATAGTTGCTAGTTTGCCTAAAGGCTAGTTGTGTTGTCACTCTGCAGACACACAGCCAAGTGTAATGATTGATATCCCCCTAGAGGTTTCAGCTTTGTCCCTTGGCCTGACTTAACATTTCAGAGTGATTGAGAGCACTAGAGTTATTATCATTTTGTAAACTGAAGTATTCATGGATATAAAATAGGCCTCATATAAAACACCACCAGTGTTAATAAACCACAGAGTGTACCTACCCACACCTTTGTTTGATCACCATATCACAAGTCAAGCTCGTGGTTGAGAAGTGACATAGTTCCCTGTTCTGATAACAGGCTGTTTTTTTTTCAAGTCTTATCACATATTTCGGTCCCATCATGGCCACCGCTTGTCTCTCACAACAGATTTGTTTCAGATGGAGAGCTAAAATCAGACAGAAAGATGGTCACCATGGCACAGTGACACATGCAGCTGCTGTAGTAAGTCCTGTGACCAGTTCATCGCTGTGAATAGAGCGATTGTTGCCACATAGCAGACAGTGAGTCTTGATAACTGTTGTCAGCCTGGGCCTCAGCATCACTACAAATGTATAGAGGGATCATTCAGACTCTTGTCTTGCAACAGCAAGTAACTTTAATAAATGAGTTTACAGAGAGCAATCGTAAAGAAACAGCAAGGTGTTGACTTAACTTTTAGCTCCATTTGGGAAGTTTGTAGCAAGGTTAGACAAAATCCTCTAAAGCTGGGTGAAAAGAGGATGATGCCAGAACTGAGCTGAAGGGATGTCTGTTACCTGTTTGAGTTTTGGCAGAACATTGCATGGGTACTTTTTGGGCAGGCTTGGCTGTCATATCTAATCCAGGGTGATGCTAGCCAGCTGCACAGAGACTCAGCATGGAGTGGAGCTAGCTAGCTGTAGGGAGCTTGGCAGAGGCTGTGGTGGGCTGTTACACAATACAGAGGTTCAGGATGAGGTCACCTTTGTGACGTCAAACCAGCTTTAAAATGCATCTATAGATGCATGGGAGGGTTGGCATGCATTCATACCGCAGTTGCATTATAAATCTCTTCAGTATCCCAACCTCGAGCTAAGGTGATGTGTTTGCTGTGTCTGGTTTTATCAACGTAGAGTCCACCTCCTTTAAATTGACACGAGCACTGCTTAGGTACTACTTTACCCTCTTGATAAAGATTTAGACTCCTAGTCCCTCTTTATACTGAATAAAACATGCAAGATATTATGGATTTAATACCATTGCAGTTGTTACTGTATGCTCTTGCTCTAAAAACAAGCCAAGCTAAAATTAGCAGCGGCTCTGCCCATGGTCCCTCCTGGTGCCCTGTGTATATAAAGGAAGGTCTAACAGAGAACCAAAGTATTCAACCATTATGGAACTATTTATTATAATAACTTTAAACACACCCATTTAATGGGAGTGAAAACACTGGTTGCTGACGTCTTGCTAGCTTTACCTTACATAATATTCTCTGATTGCTCAACACTGTTGTTAATTGTTATCATTACAGGATAAATTACCCTCATATTTATTAACCTATCATCCATCATAGCCTCCATCTGACATGACAAAGCTATGTAGGCTACGAGAAGGAAGAAACAAGTCTCTTATTCTGGGGGTAAAAAGGTGGCTTTCAGTAAATTAACTGGCTTTACTCGCCAAACTTGTGTTAACTTTTAATATTACCTTATTGGTTAACATGCAGTATTGTCTTTGGCATAATGATAGCATAAATTATAAAAGGTGAAATGTCTGTCTCCTACTATAATGCTATTACTTCCAGGTGAGGTTGTTCTTGCTACTATGCTTAACATGGTCTTATTTTTATATTGATGAACAGAGAATCAACTGTTGAACAGGTTAGTACAAAATCACTTCATGCTTATTCGCTGCCCTCCAGGCTGCGGCTCCACGAGGGTAAGGTGATCAAGGATCGGCGGCACCATCTGCGAACTTACCCAAACTGCTTTGTGGCAAAGGAGCTCATTGATTGGCTGCTAGAACACAAGGAGGCCTCAGACCGGGACACAGCCATCAAGATCATGCAGAAACTTTTGGACCAGAGCATCATTCACCACGGTAAGCCTGCACTGTGTGTGTGTGTGTGTGTGTGTGTGTGTGTGTGTGTGTGTGTGTGTGTGTGTGTGTAAGTGTGTTGAATGTTTTTGCGAGTGGGCTTGGTGTTTTGCATGCTTTTGCTCCTCTTTTTTTCTTCTCTGTTGACATTTCCTGGGAACGAGCTGTGCCTCCTGATAGATGATTCTTCTTGTTTTCCAGCCAATTTGGCCTGAGCGTGACTTCTCACTACCTGCTTCACATTTACCCAGTCACTAAAAGACAGAGGCAGAAATGTAGGCCTGTTTTTCTCTGAGGTTTAAGTTTAGACGGAGGCAACTCAATAACAACCCATCCCAGCTGTGCATGGATAATGTTGTTTGGATTTCAGCAGCTGTTTAGTACAAACATAATCCAGTTCCCATGACTCCATTGTGTTAAACTTGTTGCTTAAGTTGTTAACATCATCCACACTTCAGGGTCATGACCTTAAGTGACCTCTGTGGTCACTAAAATTGGAGGAGCTGTGAGGTAAATAAGTAATTGGCCAACATAGCAAATGCAAAGCTCATGAAACAGGTTTCAATGATTTTTGGGCCTTGTGATTGAATTCTTTGTGTTACTGTATGAATATTTAAAAATCAAAACACAGTTCTAAAAGAAAAAACATTAAATGTGAGTCTTTGTTCGCTCTCTGGGTTTAACTCTCGTCACTCACTGTCAGTAGCAACCTGGTTCTCTGTCATCCATAATCAATTTCTTGCCTCCCTGTTCACAGTTCTCCTCAGGGAATAAGCTTTTAAACTCATCGCTTGTGTGTGTGTGTGTGTGTGTGTTGTCAGTGTGTGATGAGCACCGGGAGTTCAAGGACATGAAGCTGTTTTATCGCTTCCGAAAGGACGACGGCACGTTCCCACTGGACAGTGAAGCCAAAGTCTTCATGAGGGGGCAGAGGATCTATGAAAAGTATGAACACACACTCACACAAACACACTAAAATTCTCAGCTACGTCCACACAAGCGAGTTACTCACTGCGGTCATTGTCATCGTGGAGCTGTGAAAGGGATCGAGGGAAATGGGTGCTGAAACAGTTGCATAATGAAAACTGAAAAACCCCGGGCATTTTTTCCCCCAGCATTTTTGATTGATTTTTTGCTTTCACCCTTTTACATGTAAGCTTTAAAGGAATAGTACACAATATTTTATCTGTAGAGGGCTAGTTAATAATACACCCTCATATTAGTAAGTTAATATGGTGGTACTGCTAGAAGCTAGTACTGAGCATAGAGAAGGAAATTGGGTGAACCAGCCTAACCAATTAATTTGGCTGGTTTATGGCATTTTTAATCAGCATCATATTGGCATCAATTTGATATTACCATTATATTGCCTAAACATAATAAAAATCAATTTAAAACAAATTAATTGCAAAGAAATTATGGATTTAAACATGACTTCTTTTAATTCCAATCACAATATTTAACTTTTTAAAATTTATTTATTTTTTTCTAATCATTTAAATTGGCTCGTTAGACATCCAAAAATCCTCTGTTGCAATATTTTGCTTAGCTAGGGTGACATATCCTGAATCCACAAAAAGAGGACACGACTATGCAGAGGGTGGAGTCACGGAGTCACACATAGTTAATTTTAAAAGTTTTGGAGTCGGACCAGGTGTTTTTTACGTGCTTCTAGCTCAGTTAGTCCATGTGACACAAACCCAAATCTTCCATACAAAACTGCAGACATTTGAAGGATTTTACAAACTCCCCCGGTCAAAGTCAGACAAGGCCGGACACTCAGCCCCAAAAAAGTAGGGCATGCCCGGGTAAAAGAGGACGTATGGTCACCCTAGCTTAGCTAAATATTTTTCCATCTACTATCATATCATTTCATCATGTTCATCAATTTTGTTTTTTATTTGTTGTTACTAGGAAATTGTAATATTTTTTACAATCCTCAAAAAAGGAACAGAAAAGAAAACAACAACAATGGGATATGGACATTATGTATCGGCCATCAGCTCACCTGCTTGCTCACCAGCATCAGCCTGTGAATAACTGCTTAAAGCTCCTTAGAAATGCATCAAGGCTGTTTATTGAAATCTATTTGTTGTGGTGAGCATAGCTAGCATGCCTCGATACGTAAAATTTGCTAGCTTTCGTATTATCGCAAAAATGTGTCATACATTTGTGTGGTGCTCAGTCTTATCTCGCTCTTCATGTTTCCAGAGTAGCTCCTCCTCATAACATCTTTCTCTGATAAAAACAAGTGCAATTTTTGAGCTACAAGACATTTGTCCCCAAGCATATGCATTAGTTCTACTTCCTGCTTTCTCCTTAAGTTTCCTCATCTGGCATACACTCCGGGGTTAGAGTTGGTTGTGTACATCAGAAAATCCACCAGCATTCATTTATGGTAGAAAATAACTTTCCTGGTAAATTGGGTTCCATTAGATTGTAGAGCGCAGTAATCAGACTAAATGGACTCTGACCACGATAAAAGCCTGCAGAGAGAAATCACAAGTCATGAGAAGGATCTGAACAGGAGATGACTCAGAGCTTTGTCCAGCTATAGGCTGGATCCAGAGGTGGAAAGAGGACTTCACTAATGGAACTGTTTTTGTTTGTCATCAGCTTTTTACCCATGGTGCCATGTTTCCTATGCTGATGGGACAAAGCGTTGCTATAGTAACCCCAAAATCCATGTCTCTACTTCTCTCTGTAGTTGTAAAACACTGGCATCTCTACATTTATTTATTTTTTTTTTCAAAACACACTCCGCTTGACTCTCCTTCCCCTTCTCACACATCCTGCCACCCTCTTTGTCACCCAAGGAAACTGTATTTGTGTGCCTCCAAACACACACCCACAGTGACACTCTCATAAACAGAGACTTATTTTTCATGTCTGCTTTCTGGGGCTTTAGACGCGCATGGACACACGCACGCACAAATACACAGCAGTTGCATAAGAGGAAGAAATAGTCCAACAGGAGACATCTGTCGTCTCAGCTCTCAAAGCTGTGTGTTTATGTAATCTCTGCAGCAGTCTAGGACACACACACACGCTCGCACACTAATACACATACAAACACCCCCAAAGCTTGTTGTGTGGTTGCTTGATTATGAAGTAGAGCTGCCTCACTGTAACACTTTTGGCACAGCGACAGGGAGATGATTATTTTTCTTTTTTGCAGGACAATGCAAATTTTTGTATATCTTACATGACAGGAAGGATCATTTTACCATTTCATGTTTTCAGGTCTTCAAACTGACACTCACTTTTCTTTTTTTTTACATGTGGTTTCAAAGATGCAGTTACTTTAAAGTGATTTCAAACCTTGTTAGCTGTTTCACTGTATTTCAGTATATCCTGTAACAAATAACTGTGATCATTCATGTTTGGCAAATTGAATAAAAATTAACTTTAGACAGCTCTCCAGTGAACCAAAACAGGAATTTTACTGCATGAGTTATTAGCCAGTGGGTCAAATGAGGACAAATATCCTTATGTCAATATCCTGACTTGTGTCAATATACGGCTACTAAATATTGATGCAGAAAACACGTGTTTTCTGTATCTGACTTGAAGTATTACAACTTCATGATTTATTGGAGTGACTCTAATGACATTACAGTCGCTCCAATAACATGAACAGAAGTTATTTGGCAAAAGAAGAGGCAGTCGACAGTGGCATAATAGCAGAGGGAGAAAGCAGCTAGTGGTGAAAAAAAATATGAGATCTGCAAGCTTCTTATAAAACCAAATAGAAGAAAGAAAGAAAGAAAGAAAGAAAGAAAACTATCTTTCAGCTCTATGCTTGGATGAGAGGGGAAGTGGAGGATGCACTCAGATCTGAGGAGAGAGTTGCATGCAGCACTTGCGATGGGCAGACTTGCTGAGCTACTCATCTCCTAATGTTTTCTATCAATAAGCATTGAGTTATCTTTTATCAATGAATTGTTATTTTCTCAAGGTATCCCTGTTTAAACGTGGCGACTCCAGTGACCAGCATATAAGGGCTGTTTTAAACTACACCAGCTATAGGGTTAACACAGTAAGGTGGAGCACCACTTGGTTGAAAATGATAGTCTAAGAAGAAGAACATGTTCCCTGAATTCTAATAATTTGCTTCAGGTAGTAAAAATAATGACAAAGAAATTGTCTTCTTGTCACTAATAGCCTCATTTGCCTTTGTAGCTCATATAGAGGCATCAATATTGATTCCTGACTGTTTCATTACCTGCTAAAGACTCCTCACAGTAGCTTTAATGGGAATTTAAAATTGGTAAACGTACTTTACAAGGTAATGGAAAGGGCTGTACTTGAATTAAGCCTCTGACACCATGAACACTCAGTATGTCCCCATCCCTGCAGCCAGACTTAAATCTCGTTTTTCCATCGATATAGAAACAGTCCTCTCCACACACTGCGCTCATTTGACGACAACATCAAAGATCAAACTGCAGTAAACAGACCAAAGAAAGGCATCCCAGACACTTATTATGATAGCAGTTCCCAGGCAGGGGTTAGGTAGAGTGTAAACAGGCCCTCTAAAGACCTGTTCGCCATGTGGACTGTCTGTATCTGTGTGTGTCTTTTCTGTCAGTCGCACTAGAGCAGCAGTGATTTTTGCTGCTTTGCTGAGAGGTACCTCTCAGCCCTTTGCATTCAAACTTGTAAACCTAGTTGTGCTCTGTTAGTGTAGGCATCATAACAGAATTATACTGTCATCATATCCCAATTTTGTCAAATTTCAGGCAAACAATCAGGCCTGAACTTTGTAAAAACAGTAAATTTAATCATTTTAGTCTCACTTTCTACTTATTTAACACTTGAGCCTTTGTCTCCACAGTCATTTTGAAATAAAGATACAACCTCTGGAGATGCTTTCTCTTCTCATGTGCACACGTCTTGATTTTATATTTATGCCTCAACGGGGGTTGTGTCAGCGTGTGAGAAGCCAAAGAGAGTCAGTTTCACTTAGACCCACTCAGTTTGCATAACACTCCAAAGACTCTGTTTCTTAATGCCTGGGCTCCACTGTCCTTAAAGGGCCACACTCATGATTCTGTACACTGGAGGTTTTGACCTAAATTGCAAATTACATACACTTAACATTACGCTGACCATTTGTCTGCATTCCAGACAACCGACACACTATAAACAGTGATTTTGTCTTTCTCACCAGACGCATCCACAGAAGTTTAACATGCTGCCAAAGTAAGAGAGAGTTTATTTTAAAGACATAAAGACTTTCACAAAGATGTCTCTGTCTCTACATAGTTGGGGCTCTGTAACCCTTTCAATCTAATTAATTTCATCGGCTGGTCTTTAAGCTTAAAAGTAAATCCCAACTTTTCCACATGACAAACTGATGACTGGAGGAATGCTTTTGGTTTTTATAGTAAAAGGCTCAACAAACAAGGTTACAAAGTGCATTTTCTGTTTAAACTGAGGCGATTAGCCGATAGTAATGCTACAGTGGCAGTCACAACAAGCACGGCAAATTACATTATCCTCTATTTATTGATTCACAAGGCCACTGTTGGGAGGCCTAGCAGACTGTAACCGAGATTAAGAGCTCCACAGACAAAACAAAGTTGGTCTGAGAAAGACGAGAGCCACAAATGGCCCACACTGGGCTGTGTTTGAAGTACTTATGCTTGACTGATTGTGCGAGGGAAATTTTTGTAGACAGTTAGTTTAGGTGATGTTTCCTAACATTTACTGGTATTATTTATGTAGGAAATAGCAACAATTTCATTTCCAGTTTTAAGTTTAGAGAATATTTTTTCTATTTGTTTACATTCTCTAATAGATTTATTGTAGGTGAGGCTTGTAGTATGAAACAACATTTAGCAGAACGGACTGGGTTGAAATGGAATTCAGTATTGATGAGTATTTTTAAATCAGTGTATGACCACCTAAATATAAAAATAATTTTGTTTTTCACCAACTTAGATTCATAGTGTCTCCCTCTGCCATCTGGCAAAGCTGTGTTATCACATTAGCGCACAGCAGACAGTATGTGCATTTAATTGAGCTCTTAATTGAAAATGGAGATTTACTTTGTAAAGTGATTTAAAGAAAAAAAACAAACACTGTATCCTGATTTCATTCTCTTCAGCTCAACCATGAAGTGAGCTATATTTAGAAATTACTTAGGTTCTGTATTAAATATTTAAAGTTAGATATTCAGCCTCTTCCAGATCAGCCTTCAGGGGAGATGAATTAAGACCTTGAGATTTTTTGTTCTACAGTTAAACGTATTTGTCTCACGTGCTCCTAAAATGAACCTTTAGGATAAGTTTTTGTTTTTAAAAGACTTTGAAAGAGGTTTCATTAGTGCTCCACTTTTATGCTGGACTACATCTGAGAGCTAGGAGAAGTCTGGTGGTCATTCAAACACGTCTCTATGGGCACCACTCCAGCTGAGTTAGGTATGCTGACTGAACAATAACACTGCATTTATAGGTCGTAGCAGCTCCTTTCACCTCACTACAAGATATAATTTATGCTTTGTATTCGCCATCTAAAACCATGTAGGATAAATTGTCTTTCATGTAATGCTTCAGATGCTATTTTTCCAATGGGCTGTATTCAAGTACAGTACTTTTAGCCAGCCCTCTGAGCTTACCTTGTATGTTGACTTTACATGTTTACCTGGATTATTGCATTGTGCTCACAGCCTGGTTTCATGACGAAACATTATGGCCCTTTCGTTTTAAAAATTGTATAACCATGTTGATCTTAAATGTGGGTCACAGCTATTGTCCTCTTTAAGATCCAAATCAATTAATTTTGACGTTAAAACAAGTTTTGTTTGGTTTGGTATGTTAAGTTAAAGCAGTTGTGGGCGTCAACCTCAGACCTTTGAATACGTTGAAATTGACTTCTATTCTTTACTATAATTTTATTAAAGCCACCTGGAACCCAAGGAATAAAATTGTCGCGTGCATCAACATTTTAATTCTCCTGCTGTGGGTGAGAATGACTCCTTCAAGAGGACACGACTGACTGGTTTTGTGTTTTTAACAAAAATATGGCTTTGTAGAGGTTTCATTTGGCTTGATTACATTTATTATCATCCTCATTTTGCGTCTGTAGAGGAGAAGCTGTTGTCCTTGTGCGCTGTATTTTTCCAAAGATGTTTTGCACTAGAAGATAATGAAATCTCTGGTCTAATAAAATCCAAAAGAGGATAAACTGATGGCCTGTTTTATGCCAGGCTAATGAGGTTTTCTCAAAATGTCGGGGTGGGGACCGACTACCCATCCACTGTGATAATCAAGCACAGTTTTTTTTAATTAAAAAACCTGGGCAAACACCATGCTGTCTCTTATTATCTAACCCTGATGAACTGTAACAAAATTACAGTTGGTTAAAGCTTTTGCTGGGTCATTTGCATATTTGAGGTGTGGTTATAGTAACTGTGTGGAGGTTAGCGTGAGCTGTTGTATAGGAGTGATGTGATATACCTTTAGGGGCCTCAGAGTTCCTGGAAACACCCCGGTAACTGCTCCATTTGTTTGAATACTTGAAAATTAATCAAGCACAGACTCACATGAGGTGTCTGATAATTAACTAGAAAATAGGTGAATGATTTTTTTTTGTGTGTGTGTCCAGTTTAGGTCCATTTAATAAGGTCACTAGCTGTTAAAGTTTCATGTAGCTCTTACTGAAGTTAAGGCCTTAAGATTTTTCTCGTCATGATTAGTCGTCTTGCAAATATTTTGTCTTTAAACAACCCCTTCCCCTTGTTTTGTGTTACACTTTCTATACATTCCTTCAAATGCTTGATCTGCTATTATATCCATAAATAACGTCTTTCTCTGTGGCATTATGTCTCTGTTTAGTGTGTCAGCCCGGCAGTTCAGTGAATGATTGATGGCCATTAAATCTGGGAACATAACTGTGCAAGAAAAACACGGGCAAGAAAGTTTAGTGTCTCCGTCTCTTTGATGACACGGTTTATTGCCAGCACATGTTCGGACATGTCCAACTGTGCCACAAAAGCTATTCTATATAACCGCCCGCCGCCTGCCTGTATGTTATTGTTTGAATGCTTTGCGGACACAGTGTGGATGCGAGTGGCAGGTGTATATGTGCGTGTTTTCAGAGCGCATAGTCAGCGATTCTGTTCTGTCAGCTCATGTGTGTACTTGTCTGGTTTTGTTTGTTGAAATTGTGAGTGTGTGTCTCTGTTTTTGTCTGTGTGTGTTATATAGTGTCGCCCAAAAAAACTCTGCTCCATGTCACCCCTTCACATGTACTGTATTTCAGTTAAACTAAACCGTCATGTGTTTTATTCATATTGGTATAATATATAAACGACAATGTGCGAGCTCAACATGTTGAGTCCAAAAACTCAAATATTTATAGAATTCATCGAGGCAGATTTTCCTTGATGTAATTGTTGTGAGCCGTCGCTCTAATCTGGGGTACCAGGAATATCATGATATTAGTTTGCATTCTTATGACTCCATCCATGCGGCTTAGGTGCTAATCTGCAGACTTCCACAGTGCAGTGCCGGTTCTTTTTCCACCAGACAGATTACAGAGGGGAAATGGGCAGAGCTATGGGATTTGGAGGATTATTTTCCCTGCAGAAATTTCCGATTTTGGTTTCATAACGACCTCATTGACACATATTTTGAATAACTAAAACTTACTCTCGGGTTGTCGGATATTAATGTGTTATTCAAGCAGTTCACACACTCCACAACCACTGGATGTCTGACACATGGATAATATAATGAAGATGTTTGAATTGAACAGTTAATGTGGATTTTATTGCTTTTGTACATTAAAGAAAAACGATAACGTCTCAATTTGCGACTTGTAGCCTCTTCTTAATTCCACTTGTAACTCAAAGTTTTCAATTTGTTCCCAACAGGTTGATGAACACTGAAAATAATCTTTTACAAACCAGAGAAGAAGAGGGCGGGACGTTTGAGCGAACGCTGGTAGCCTCGGAGTTCATCGACTGGCTGCTGCAGGAAGGCGAGATGCCGACTAGAGAGGAGACGGAACAGCTGGGACGAAGACTTCTTGAACACGGCATCATCCAGCACGGTGAGAGAAAACAAGTAACACCTGTAACATTTGATCAGTGCACACAGAAATGTGCTGAGGTCATGAAAACACTTCATATAACCTTGAAGCGTGCTTAAATCCAGCGTGACTGGATCAGACTGTACAGATGTGACAGATTGATGGTCTGTGAACGACTCCTGGTGACAGTCAAGCTTGTTGCCCTGGTACTAAAAAGAGCTCTGATGGTTCATAACAACCTCTTGGCTCTGGTATAAAGTTCTCCCATGAGTCAGATTCCTGGTGACCTTTCCCCTCATAACACAGCGTTACCTTTGCTTTGGTCTTCAGGGTCATCCTGGATTACAGCCTTATCTGAACACATGAACACACCCTCTTGACTCCTTTTTGAGCTGCTTCAGTCATGTGTAGTTTAGTCTTAAAGCACAAATGAATCACATATAAATTAATGGGTCTTAACTGGATGAAAGTTTCACCTTTTATTAGAAATGATCTTTAAAATACTTAAACCTCAAACACAAAACCTAAAGCAAACTGACACTGTGTCCAGGTTGAATCCTTGTATACTCTGAAACATTTGACAGTAAACTCTGATCCTCCAGATGACGTGAACTGACCCACAACCCATCTCACTCCGGATGGGATTGTGTTTGACTTCTCTTGATTCTCTGTGTCACCTAGATTTGACCCGTATGGCCAGTGTTCGAGCACGAGTTGGGTCACAAAAGATGACAGAGTAACAAATAATGTGCAACATGCCACAGCTATCAGGAGGTGAATACGTTCTCCCGGCTGTAAAGACTAGAGCTATATTGTATCTCTCAACTTGAGTGTTTTTCTTTATGCGATTGATTCTTGTTTCACCAGTTATATTACTCAGAGACTTAGTAAGTCTTTTACAACTGAATAAACTCTATACCAACATGAATTCAAAATTTACCCTGCATTGGACAACACATGAGAAGCATTATGATGTTCTCTCTCGGCCGAATTCTTGTTCCAGCATAAAAAAAAAACACGTCTATAAGTGTGTGACAAGGGTTGATTCTGACTTTTAAATTTTTTTTAATCAAATTTAAAGAATAAAAGTTTCATACATTTATCAATTACACACAAAGAGAGCTTCCAGACTAGAGAGTCCCGGATCCTGTTTAAGATTTTCAGCAATAGTGCATTTAATTAGTTTCGTACTTTCGAGTCTGGGAGGAACTGAAAGCCAGAGTGATCTCCTGATTTGCTTTATGAGCAGCAATACTTTGTGTGTGTGTGTGTGTGTGTGTGTGTGTGTGTGTGTGTGTGTGTGTGTGTGTGTGTGTGTGTGTGTGTGTGTGTGTGTGTGTGTGTGTGTGTGTGTGTGTGTGTGTGTGTGTGCTTGCAGCCCCTCCTAAAATCTTATCAATCCAAGTCTAAATTTGCTCCAGCTGTTTGGATGCCTTGTTATGGGCTCTGTATGGGCACATAGAGTGAGACTTTCAAACATAAAGATTACAAAAATCCTGGAGCACATGCAGATCCAGACTTCATCATAGTTAACTTTTGGTTTATGTATTCTCCTGTGATGTGTGTTCGCTTTGAGATTCTGTTCAACACAGGACATAGATCCTGAATGACGACGGTCACCACATGACTTGAAATTAGATTTGATGCTGATGTTTGTAGCTCACACCCATGTCTGATTACATTAGGAAGTGTGTTACTGCAGAGACATGTGAGGCACTCAGTGCTGCCTTTTTTAAACACAAAACATTGTGTAGATTTGAATCATGGTTTGGAGTGTCTACATACTTCTGCACAGAACTTTTTGATTTCATAAGACATACACTGTTGAGCTGTTGAATTTATTTATAAAACAAATTACACAGAAGAATAGGTCACATGCACACAGCTCCAACACAACTGATGGTTGCCATGAGGAAGTAGTTCATTGTCAATAAATAAGTGTGATGGGGAAATGAGTAATACCGATACCACTTACATAATGTATTACAGAGTCTGATAGAGACTGCATGGTGTCTGTGGAAATAACCGCACCAACACTTCATGAATGACTTTGACTGTTATCAACATTCGAGACACAAAAATGTCTCATTTTGTCCCCCCATGCATTTACATTCATAACATATATAGAAGTTCACCTTTGGATGAATCCACATTTTGTCTTGCTGACATCGTTTTCTGTGGGATAGTGTTGTAGCTGTTTTTGTAGACCATATGTCAAACTAACTGAGACTAGGTTTAAAATTAAAAAAGAAAATGCAAGCAGGCAAGTTAAGGAGTGAAATTGTTGTTCCCCTGAGCCTCAAACACTGTGTCAGCAAGTCTTTAACTGTATTTAGCAAGACTTTGATTTTAAGTGAGACTTTTTCCACTGAGAGATCTTCATATGTAGGTTTAAGCTGAGCCAAAGAAACAATGTCTTAGATTTGTGGTTGTTAAGTCTGTTTACTGGTCTGGGGAGGAGACCAAAACATTTCACTGAAGGCTGTCCTTGGGTGTGTGTTAGTCTTTTGTAGCATACAATAAAAGGATTTTGTTTAGTTCAATGCCTGCTGAAGGGTGTGTTTCTCTGCTCATGGCTAAAAAAAACTTCAGTGACAAATCAGTAAAGGTTTCAAAACATCCAACGCATAACTAATGTAAAAAAAATCCCTCCAGGTGAACATTTTTATTCTTTGTACTTTTGTCCTTTTCTGTTGATGATTACAACCCCAGATTTTATTAGTTCTGCCTAAGCTGTCTTTTGCTTTTATAATATTTTAATTTTCACAACACTGTGCATGTGGGCATATTTAATCAAGGGTACGAAGGGAAATGTTGAAAAAAATGTCAACATTGATGTGACTGATGAAAGTAACCCAGTTTGAACAGAGCTCAGGGGAAAAGGTTCAGAAAAGGAAATCTTACTTTACTATGCACAGATTGAAACAGTGGATTTACGATTGATTTATGGACATGTTCACACATTTCCTGCATACATCCCAAAAGTTAAAAATAAGGTTTAAAACAGTCTTTAAAGTATACACAGATGACTACACCCAGTACTATAAACTTGTTGAAAATGATTGAAATTGTTCTATGAGAAAATCTCTTTCTGTAGTTTCTTGTTTGGTATTTTTAATTGTCTCATTTTACCCACTTTAAAACCCTAAATCTGAAGGAAAACTAACAATTCGAAATATACTTGGCTTTTGTATGAACTGTCAAACTGAAGTGGGAAAACGCACGTGGCATTACATGTCGTCTTCCTTTAAAAAAGGCTTAAATGCAGTCCCAGTGTACTCTTTTCAGCTGTGGTGCTCAGCTGACGTAGCAGTAGCCGTTTCTCTCTGAGGTCAGGTTGTGTTTATTCTGAGCAGGTGATCAGAGCTCAGTGGACAGTTTGTTCAGTGCAGCCCTGATGGGTCCAGAGTTTATGCTTGGCAGACGTTGGTTCACGTGAAAAACAGGGATTTGTCACGATTTTGACTTAGCGGCAACCGGAAGAGAGTGTTATGTAATAAAATATTTTAATAATGATTTCACTTAGTTTTAAGGAATGTACCCCAATGAACTGATAGTACAAGTTTAAATTAACAAGACATTGACCAGTTTCCTCATACCTACCCTCTCTTTGACTCGTTTATGTTTTGCCTAGTAGAGAAAGTGTTCTGTTTTATAGTGAATATCCAAAGTGGCGTGTTGTGAACTTTCATCCATCTGTATTTGCTTTTTATCTTTTCTTTTGTCTGAAACTCTTAAAGTTATTTATTCTTTCCAACTCTCTCATTTTCTTCACCAGTCACCAACAAGCATCACTTTGTGGATGGGCCCCTCCTCTTTCAGTTCAGGATGAATTTCCGGCGGCGACGGAGGTTAATCGAACTCCTTCATGAGCGCAGTCGCAGCATACCCGAGAGTCACGACAGCCCCTTCTGTCTCCGCAAACAGAACTCGGACGGAGGCAACACCAGCTTCCTCTCAGGTAGAAACCCCAAACAAACATAAACACACAAGGAAAGATGGATGGAGTCCCTGTGCGGCAGTCATCTGCTTCTATGATACACAACACACTCACATAAATTAAGTAGCGGTAAAGTTTTATTCTTCCCTACAGAAAACTTTAGATGTGAGGGTTTTTTCTTTTCTTAATGAAATTAAAATGATGTTGAGGAAATTAAAAAACTTGATTTTTACTGTTAAAGTGTAAAAACCTAAAAGTATGATTCAACTCAAGGACAAAGATTCCTCTGTGCTCACTTATGTTTAGGAAAACTACCATTAACTTTGGAGACTGGCAGGAGTTTGTTATGTGAGTCGGCTTAAAATAAAAATAAGGTTAAAATTTTTGTTTAACTGTCCCATTAATGGTGACTTCAGGGGTTGTGTTTGACAGTAAAATGTCCTCTATGAAATGTTAATTTATGAAAAACTTGAGTTTCTCTGCATGACCTGTGAGAAAAGACAGGATACAACATTGAAGACTGAGCCGTAAAAGAACATGCAACTTCAAATCCCTGTCATGAATTATTGAAGCACTGCAATGGTATTTCTGGTGTCTTATAAACCCATAAGGGTTGGGCACTTTGTGTGCACAACACGAAAATAATATAAGCAACCCATCAATCAAAGTAGTGCTTTTCAAAGGATCATTGGCTGCTTTACAAAGATGGGGGAACAAACTAGTAATAATCATAAAAATGATAATAATACATATTTTGTCACTGGGTTCTGTCGTCTAGGATGAACCCACAGTGACATGTCAACCCGTTTTCCAATATCTTCTGTGTACATGCACAAACACAGACACCAGATTAAGTGTCCTCAGTCCCTCTGCCATAGAGAGATAATGAAGTGAAACTATCTGTGCAGTCTGGTAGTAGAGTGTAACAGAAAGTCCTGTCTTATTATCCACATTAGTCACTTGAATTTGCCTAAATCTGTGAAGGCTTGCAGTATCAGCTCAGCTTCAGATTAGGTTTGGTTTAGATTGTATTAATCAAATCATGGTAGGCTACTTAAAAAAAATAGCCAAATGATGCGCTCTTTAGCTGTGAATATTTTTCATATTTTTTCTTCTAAAATCGCTCTCAGAATATTTGCTCACATACAATGACAGAGTTAAAGTTGTGTATTTTATTAATACTACAGCTTATGACATTGATATTCCCCTTAAAACCTGTAACATCGTTTATTTGAACAGGATTTCTTTTTTGGGAACGGGCATCAATCATGAGGAGCAAACAATAGCAGAGAGAGTGATAACATCTTTGACTAAAATGGAGTGGGCAACTGTATTAGAAAAACAGGAAGTAATGGGAAAGACCGTTTACACAACTGATATTCCCTCATAAACATGTGCTGCTCTTTACTGATTACAGGGTGCTAATTAAGGCATTTGTTTTACACAAGGCACATAAATAACATCCAATGCTCCAGGTAAAAAGGGGAAGAGTTAAGTACTTTTCTGTGCTGATGAATGACCTGCAGTAACAAAGGCTGAGTTTATAAACCGTCACATCAATCTTGGTCTGTGTCCTGCTTTATAGATTTCCTATCCTGCTCAATCTGTCTTTCTCCTAACATCTCTCTCTCTCTCTCTCTCTCTCTCTCTCTCTCTCTCTCTCTCTCTCTCTCTCTCTCTCTCTCTCTCTCTCTCTCTCTCTCTCTCTCTGCGTCAGTGAGTCCCACTAAAGAGATAAAAGTGGCTGTAGGGGTTCGGCGGAGCAGCATGAGCAGCAGCTGTGGCAGTAGTGGTTACTACAGCAGCAGTCCTACACTCAGTAGCAGCCCACCTGTGCTATGTAACCCTAAGTCTGGTATGTATCACAGGCCCACACCTTTTACCCAGCATGCACTTGGCCTCACTGTACAGCTGAACAGATCAAACAGGAAATACATGATTTAAACTACCCTCATTTTCATAAAAAACCAAGATGGGGGGAGCAGCAGCAAAGACCCTGAAAATGGGACACCCACTTTGACATTTGCCATGAGTGCTGACAGAGAGAACAAGAGCACTGGAACTTCTCTCTATGTGTGTACTGTAAATGCGCATGTATCTCATGATTGTGTCTTTGACAGCCTAGTTTACACCTCTTACACCTGATGGGATTTATGAGTCAGTGGGATTTGTATGTTTGATGTTTTGTTTACGTACTGACAGTTTTAAGGCTCTAGGGTGAATCCAAGTGTTAGAATTATCCCTTAAATGTAATTTATGAGACCATAGTCACTATGATCACTCATAGCAGTGGTCTGTTATTTCTCAACAGCAGACCCAGGTAGGGATGGAGTTCTGATCACAGACGAAACCATATGAGTGCACAGAAAGAAATCTGAAGACAAGAGATGAAAATAGCAGAGAAATGCAGGAAAGGTTTAAGATACAAAAACTGCAAGCTATGATTGACAAACCCACGAAACAGAAGATAGTGTCTGTCAAACATAGGGCTGGGCAATAAAACGATATATATCAAAAATTAATTTCCCTCAATATCAATATAAAACATGGTCAATATGCTGTTCGATAGTCTGCGTTCTGCCATGTTTTGGTAGATTATATGAATAGCCATTGAACAGGGAGAACAGTCTCCGGGTCCGCTTTGCGCTCACCACCTAAAGCAGTGCCACGCGGCAGAGCACGCGCAATGCAAAAAGGTTACAAACCCCAAGCAGAGCAAAGAGCCCATGGCGCCTGTGCAGCCAAAACAGCCGACCACTCAGTCCGCTTTCTCTAGCACAACGCCTTACGATAAAATGTCTAAGAGACACAAAGACCTCACAGATGCAGTTGCTTATTGTATTGCAAAAGACATGTTACTAATAAGCACTTTTAAATTTCATTTTTTATACTGTGATATATATCGATATCGACTGATATGAAAAAACTATCATGATAAACTTTTTCCCATGTTGCCCAGCCCTAGTCAAACATTGAATAAACTCTGATTTTGGATATGAAAATGAAAAGGACATGTAATGGAAAAGATGGAAAAGAAAACGTCAAACTGTGACAAGGTAGAAACACTAGTCAGGTGTGGTGTGGACTCATGCTTCCCTTTTCACCTTGTGTGACAGTGGGAATGTTCAGTTTAGTATGAGTGATCACAGCACCATGAGGTCGTTTTAAGAAGGCCACAGAGTGAACTCTTACTATGGACTCATGTCAAACTGTGAGTGTAACAAAAAGATAGAGGCATGTAAGATTATTCACTCTTGACTGGGTAGTAAGCTTTATGTCTGAATCCCGCTCACCCTGCCAGGGTTACAGTCTTTTATAGCACCTACTTATTATATATTATTTCTAAGTAAATAACAGCTGTTGAATAACTTGTCACCGATTCAAAGACTGAGTCAAAACAGATATTAAATAAACAGATTTTATTCTCTTTATTTTGAAGTCCTCTTGACCTCATGTTCACAGCAAAGGAAATACAGGGATGACAGTGTTGTTGGTAGTTTGTTTTAGAAAATATGCCGGTTGTTGTAACTGTCAGTCATTCATATCATTCAGAGATATTGTGCTTTGACTGCTACATAGAGATTTGAATTGCAAAGGGTTGCCTTCGAATTGAGAGTGTGTGTGCGCATGTGTGTGTGTGTGTGCGCCTTTACTACTGTGAGCTTCCTTTTGATGTGCCTAATCTAAGCAGAGTCCTTGACAGAGTCTCTTTGTACCACCGGAGCCCCCTCAACACGAGCCCTCACACACAAAACACAATGAACAGGAAAAGGAAGGCACACACACTCACACACACACACACACACACACACATAAATTTCCTTTTCTAACACATAGCCTGAGTAACTCTGTCACACAGTTAGTAGATGAAGAGTCCCGCACTATAAATGCTGACAAAAAAAGACGTTTAAAAAGATGTTTATGTTGTGTTTGTTTTTGATCTGAGATCGAATGAGCCGATTATATATTTAATGTGAGTTCTTCAACAAATCTCATCGGAGGAGGATTTCCACAGAGAGATTATGGAAATGTTGCGATCAAGCAGATGAAAGACCTCTCTGACTTGACTTCCTCTTTTTCATCAGATTAGAGAGAAGTACTACACAGGCCACGAGTGATTTATCAAGAACACACACACACACCACATAAGTACTCACACACACACACAAATCTCTGGCAGTCTTTGAGCTTTCAGGTTTTCTTAGAAGAAGTAAAAGCAATCTAAGTTTTCGGGAGTTTATCCAACATACTCGAGTGCAGGAGTTGTGATTGACATATGTAGCAGTTACTGCATGTTATTCAAGATATCTTTATAAAACAGTTTACACTCAAACTTTTACTTGAAGATTAGTGAGGTTATTTTGTAATGTCACAGTGTCTCAGCTTTTATGATACAGAGCAGAACATGATTAAACTGCGATAGAATAATACCCCTAAGAAAGAAAAGGAGGGTCAAAGTTGAGTAACTGTGAAAGGCATTCACACAGGAAAATCACACTCCAGTTCTTGACTAATTCAAATTCTCTATTTCATATGACCTCAGCTGAACACTCATGAATACAATGTTTGTGTTCAGTCTTAAAACAGTGGTCTATATCTTCTCAGCTCGCTAATAATGCCAGATTTTCATCATTTCCCATAATTTCTGCTAAATTACACTTCATACATTTTTGAGGCAGAGGTCACAAGTTTGAGCTCATGGGTGGATTATGTTGAAGTGAGGTCTGTTAGGAGATAGTTGGAGGAGGGGGACACAAGCTATCCTGTTTCAGGAAACAGTGAGCCCCCGGGCCATGTTAGCCAAGTGACTGACTTTAGCACTTCAGGACACATATACACACTCTTTATCCAACAGTGTTTTGTGTGAGATTTACAGTGTGTTTTTTGTGTGTAGGGGAATATAGTGTACATGTACAAGTGCAGTATAGATACGAATCCAACTTGCATTTTGTGAATGTGTATGTATATGTGTGTGTTTCTTTTAACAGTTCTAAAGCGGCAAGTGAGTCCAGAGGAACTGCAGACACCAGGAGGACCTTTCCTGAAGAAGACATTCACTGTAAGAAACACACAAACAGTCACAGTTCATCTGTAACAAAGACAACTTCAGTGTGGCTGTTGTCACACATAATCACAGTCACACATTCTCCTTTACATTTGTGCGTACACAAAGAGAGAGAGAAATCGCAAATCTCTCTCTGGTTGAATGTGTTGTGTTTATCACAACAGCGTAACAAATGACCTTCATACTGGACAGAGCCCATGAAAATCTAGATAAAACAAAACAAGGAACATAATTATTAATTCTCCCTCGAAATAGTTGTAAAGATTTTTTCTTTTTCTGGACTTTCTTGTCATTCCTCAGATCGTAGGAGATGCGGTGGGCTGGGGCTTTGTGGTGCGAGGCAGTAAGCCCTGTCACATCCAGGCCGTGGACCCTGGTGGACCTGCAGCTGCTGCTGGCATGAAGGTAAAGACCATACCATATACAGTATATTGAAATATGGACGAACTGTGAGGGGCAGGTTTGTTTTGCAGGGTTAGGATGCTTATGTACGACGTTATATTGTCGAATTCAAGTAAATGTTTTTTTAATATCAATGGCGAAGAAAAAATGATTGGCTCTGTTGTCGCAGTGTTGCAGTATTTTCAATGAGTTGCCAAGTCTGCATTGGAATACAACATTTGCTATGGAAGGGTTAGAAAAAAATAGGACTAAAGAAAGTTTTGAAGGGGAGCAGAAAAACTTTCAGCCACATGAAGTGGATATGTCAGTGTAAGGAGGGAAAGAGGGAGTAAATCAAGCTTGAAAAAGGAAAACAGAGTCGTGGTGGCTCTGCTGCCACAGCTGGCATGAAAGTATGTAAGCAGGGTGGCAGCAAGGAATCCTGGGAATGCATAGCAGGGGGACTTGAGAGGGAGGTGAGGGGAGGATAGAATGAAGTGAGGAGCAGGAACAGGGAAGAGGAAAGGAGAGCATAAGGATGAAATACCAAGTTATCAAACACATCATAAAGAGTCGGTTTGGTTTTTAAATGTTCGGGGTTGACTTTATGTGGTAAGGGCGGCAGATTGGGGGTGTCATCTTATTTAAATGTTTAACATTAAATCTGTATTGCTTTTTTAGAGCCACTTTAATGTTTCATTTCAATAAAAGGAAAAAACCAGCCCTTAAAAGAAATCGAAATCAATTCATGTCTACAAAGTTAAGAATGGGATGTTAACTTGGATGAGGAAGAGGCCAAGGTAGAGGAGTCAATGAGGAAACAGTCAGTGGAAATATCACCACTTCTGCTTTGCTTACTGTCAGCTGTCATATTTTATCACCACGGAAAATGTGTCATGGTTCACAGGCCGGTAAAGGAGTGTGTTTTTTATGACTTTTTATGTATGTGATTAACTCTGTTGAACTGGGTGTGTACTGATTATATGACTTATGTGCGCTTTTAGAACATCTTGTAACATTTTTACAGCAAGTCTTCACCTGTTTTTGTTTTTGTTGTTGTTCTGAAAGGAAGTTTTAGCTTTATCTCAGTATCATCATCGTAGATTAAAGTCCCAGCATGCAGCAGTGAGACCTACGGCGTCTCTTTGCTGTCCCCTGCAGTTTCTAGAAGGTTGGACCTGTCTCCCTCCACCAGAGTGTGTTTGTTAATGTGTAATTAAGTCGTAATACAGTACAGCAGATAGAACGACCCCTGCTGCGAGGTGCTGGCACTGTAACTGAGGCAAAAGGCCAAACACGCAGTAACATGCACTCTTTGACCTGGGTGAGGGGGGCAGTGAAACACATCATCTTCTCCTTTCTCGGTACACACGCACACACGTGCTTTCAAACACTGTGGTTATGTATCTCTGCAGACACACACTTCAGTATTTTGATGACCATAATGGATCTGAGCACTTATGTAACCGTCCGGTGCTTCACTTTAAGAGACACTTCTGATGCACTTTTGTGAGACAGGAGCTGGAGCAGGATGTGAAAGTGTTTGTATCACTCTGGATCCATTTGTGGATCTTGTACTGTAGTGCACAGTCATTCACCATTAGGAGTGTGTATGTGTGTGTTTTCTGAGCAGTTTGTTTATATCACATTTTACTGTATGCACCATAATACATCAGAATTTCTGAACCTCAATTCTAAGAATTTGAAATAGAAAATTAGGCATTTTAAGAGTTGAAGGCTTGAGTATTTATTAATCGAGGACCTTCAACCTCCATTTACTATTCCACTTTTTGTAAGGTGATTCATTTCTTCCATGTATTATTCCAGCTTTTGCTTGATTTAGTAAGCTGAAGGAACACAGTTATGACGCATAAAGGGTCTATGATTCAGACTCTCTCTAAAAAGAAAAGGTTAAGTCTTACAGTTTGGCAAAACTTTTAACCACTCTCTTTCTTAGACTTTCATGGAGCCTGGTAGCTATTGTGAGGTTACTAGGCAACCAGCAAACTACCGAAAAACCCAGCTCTAGACCAAAATACAGCCTTGGATTGGATGTACTGTAATTCTAAAGAAAACACATACACCTACATGCCTTTTAACATTTTAGGTTTTTATTCTGTATTTTTACTAAACGAAACAATTTGTTTTACTTTTTGTGCTTTTTGTCTATATGTTCATATATCATGAAAAAACTAAGAGCAAAATTGCATTTCTGAGTATTTCTTCATTCAGATCTCTGTGAACCTCTGACAGACCTAAATGGCAGGTTCAGACACAGTGAGATTTCCTACGTCATAACTCCAAGCTCCGCCCCAGCGCCCCACTCTGCAGGCCAGACTGCGAGGAGTAGAGAGGACGATCGCAGAACAAGTGTGTGCGTTAGCGGATTGCAACGCTCGTAAGAAAGCTAATCATGATATCAGCTTTCATCATGTCCCTGAAGACATAAGTGTCTGAAAGCTGAATGGTGCCTATGTTACCTGCACAGGCAATGTTAGACTACAAGCTAGCATGAGGAGGTGTGTGCAGAGCAGCGCTGTCTCCGCCCACCACTCAGAGGCGAATTGCTAATGACCTTGAAAATGACACAGATAAGATTTTGGCCAAAAACCTCATCATCACAATTTAAAGACCATGGAGAACACTATAAATAATCAAAAAATGTACATACAATCAGAGTGGGACTTAAATGATAATTATTTTTTTAAAACAGCTTTACATTTTGAAAAAAAAATTCAAATTCCATCGAACCCCTCCATGTAAGGTTTCAATTTATCAGTTATTGTTTCTCTGGCTCTCTGATTCCTGCAAACGTGGCCTCGGGTCATCCATCACCTCAGTATTTTTGTTCCAAACAATAATTCTTTACATTGCACACAGCTGGTATGCATGCAAGCTGGACTTTTTAGCACACCCTTAACATGTGTTGTTTAATCTCTCTCTCTCTCTTTCTTTTCTCTTCATGCTTCTTTCGGTGTCCTTTCTTTCTCTGTGTGAAAGTGATTTTAACCCTCTGAATGCAAGGAGTCATTCAGTCCAGCTGGGCCCCAGCCAAGACTAACAAGAACCCCACAGCCTGAAAGGAGAGAAGCATCAGCGGGAGAGAGAAGAAGAGGGGGAGGTGTTTGGAGAGAGTTGAAATTATTAAATGCAAAGGTGGAAGGAGGAGTGAGGAATGAATGAAAGTCGATAAGACGGGGGCTTCTTGAGCTTGCTCGTAATGTGACAGAGGCTGTAGAGGTTCAATGTGATTACAGGGAGAATATAAAAGTCTCACTCCTAATCTTCCTTCCAATTATTCCCCTATCTTATCTTGAACTCTCCTTTCCTGAAACACCCAGGAAGACTAAGAAAACGCTTTACAGAAATGGCTTTGAAAATAACCAAAATATTCACCTCTATCTGCATTCAACACTTTTTTATTTCTGAGAGTAACGTCAGATTATGTTGGAGCAGGCTGCGTTTGAATAACTGCACCCCTTGCCCGTAAAATACATCTAAAAAGGTTTTCTTCCATGTCCTGCTTCTGCACAGTGTTGGTTTATAGTTGTTATAAATAACCTAATTATTATGTGCTTTTTTTGCTGGCATGCATCAAACTTTGTGCAATAACTGCATAGGAAATTTCCTGTGTGTGTGTGTGCGAGAGCCTGTAATAGCGTGCAAAAACCCAAAACCAAACCACAGCAGCATCATGTTTCAACAGCAGCAGCTAGAAGGAAACCTCAGACAACAAGCGTTATCTCTAACAGGGCTGTGAGCTGGAGGGATGGTGGTTAAACAGTGATAAGGGAGGTGGGGTCTGGGAGTGGCAGTGGGGTGATTTAAGCCTGGCTATAATGCTGTATCGGCTGTAAAATTTGTCAGGGAATACCATCAGCTTTCCCACGTTTCTCTTTACTGTTGCAGCTTTGTGCATGCTGTAGTTTTTGTTCGCCTCATTGGCTGCCCTTTTACAAATGTTTCTTAGAGGGGCGTTCATCCTCTGCTCTCTTAAATATATGTTGGGCTCTCTTTGCATAGAATGACACTGCGGCTGGATTAACAAGTTGGAGGGCCCCAGGGCAGAGAAGAACCTCTGAGACCTTGTTGCATAAAAGAAAAACATTTTTTTTTTCTCTTTTAAAAGTAGAAACTCTACTTGGGATATGAAGATTGACATAATTGTTTTTCGCTCAAGAAGAAAGAAAAATGTTCATCTGTAAGCTTTGGGTGTCATTTCAACATGATTTTGTGACAGCGGGGCAGAACCAGTTGACTTCTTGCTCCTTTCTTTATACTAGACTGACTTAATTCTGTAGATCAGCCATAACATTACGACCATCACTAAGGATTGTTTTGGAACCCTGTCATCAGTTCAGGGTCAAAACAGCCCTGACCTGATAAGACTATCATGTCCCTCTGTGCCACCTTCTTCCATCGCTCTGTAGCTCAGTTCTGACGCTCGAGCATTGGCATTTACTCCCCACCCGTGACAGCGAGCCTTCGCTGTCTATGACCACTTTTGGTAATTACAGACCACTGCAGCCCGGAAACACTTAACAAGAGCTCTAGTAATAGAGATGATCTTACCCACTTGTTTAGCCATCACTACCTAACCCTTATCAAAACTGTCCATGTCCTTGCTCTCAGCCTTTTTTCTGCCCTCAACGGATCACTTGCTGCCTTACCTCTTAGACTCTCTGAGAGGCGCCATTGTTACAAGATAATCACTGATATTTACTTTACTTTGGTCATTGTTGGTTAGTGTATATTTACTTAACAGTCATGCAGGAGGTACCAGAAGTCTTTTTTCAGATGACAAATCAGAAAATGTGTTGATCTCTATCCTCAGTATCTTCAGTCTGGATCTTAGATTACATGAAAGAGTGCAGACACTGTCTCAGTTATGTCACCAACTCGACTTAACATTTCATTACGTAGAGATGGGAAATAGCTGAAGCTAAAGCAAGTCCTAACCCTTTGGGCATAAAGGTGGTAAATCTATGCATGAGCCTTAGCCTTAAAATGTTCGTAACAGGGTGTGGAATAAATGTGTTGATTTGTTTTGTTTTGTAAAACAGACTATTAGGGCTGCATAGACATTTTTCAAAATCTTCAGTTTTTGCTGAAATAGTGATCCCCTCAGTTAAACACTGAGTTGGAAACAAAATCTTCCACTGAGTATCTTCTGTTTTTCCCCCTCCCTGTTTTTTTGCTATTTGTGCCCCATTAACTCATATTAATATCAGCCGCTTTTGATTTTCCTCTTTCAAATTAAACCTACAAAGTTGACCTTTTGCAAAAACATTATAAGAGCAGACTTTTTGTCCACACAGCTCTGTGAATTGAGTTTATTAGAACTTATCTTACTAACATTGTGGTTGGCTTAATAATTATTAGTTTAATCTGGCTTTGTGTGATGACTGAGTGAGCGGCTACGAAAAGGAAAGCAGGGTCTGCCTTTTCCAAGCCACTGTCGAACCTGCAGATGGTGTGAAATCTAGTCCTCAAAAGCAGATCCATGGTGAAGAACCTTTTTTCCCCCTGCCTGACCTGTTTATTGATACTATTTCCATCATTTCACCTTGGTCCCTTAATCAGGAATATTTCAAAGAGAGAAAAGCTGAACAACCAACACACCAAACATCTTCTCTCTCTCTTCTCTGTCTCCTTCTAGGTGTGTCAGTTTGTGGTGTCGGTGAACGGACTGAATGTCCTCACCCAGGACTACCGAACCGTCAGCAATCTTATCCTAACTGGACCCAGAACAATTGTCATGGAGGTGATGGAGGAGGTATAATTTTGAGGAGAGCAACCCTTGGACTCCTTGTTCAGTAGTGCAGTAAAAACTGCGAGGACAAAGGCGTGGCTTCATACTTGACCATGACACCAGTGCAACAAAGCTGTGTGGACACCTTTCAACATCTTTGTCCCGTCATTGTTTGGACAAGGTGGATGACTGAGCATGTGTTTGAGAATGTGGGTATTCGAGTCAGGTCAATGATTCAGCCTGTGGGCAAAACGCACAGGTTATACTTGACTTTTTAAAGTCTACCACCTCAAGGACGGTGATCAAACTGCTTCAGTGTGGCAGACACAACTCTCAGTCTTAACAAGGAGGCCCAAGACACAACAGTATAAACCACAGACCTGTTTTTGTCTGATTTCCAAACCAGAAGAGAGTTCAACCATAAAACTGCTACTGAATGTGACGACTGTTTTAAAAGGACAGCCAAGAATAAGATACTTTTTTTTAAATCAGGAAATGAAAAAGTAAAAAAAGCTGAAACTGTGAAAAAGTGAAAAAACCTCACATTAACACATTCAGTGACCTCTCCCCCAGTTACAAACAAACCACAGACTGAAGCTCCTGGTGGCTCTACACTGCCCTCTGCTGGAAACAACAAGAAGACACAATCAGAGGGAAACACTCTGTCAATTGATTATTTTTATCTTTCTTTTTTCTTTCTTTTCCTCAGGAGCTGTTGTGGCGTAAAGAAAAAAGTTATACTTTTGTTTTGTGAATGAATTAACAAAACTATGGAGGAAGATTTATATGTAGCTGCTAGAGTTTAGCTAGTTTACAGAAAGAAAATGCAGTGATATGTTGTATCTGAAGTTAACAGGCACAGTGTACATAGAAAGTTAAGAAATGCTGAATGCACAAACTAAAGAGAAATGGTATTTATGGGATGAAACCCTTTTTTTAGTTCAAACCCTAACGACAGCACTGAGAAGATCCAAAAGACTTAAAATAATTGTTTTTAAAAGTTTTATGATCAATGATTTGGTGTCTTTTGGGCATTTTTTATATTCTTAGGGTTAAATACATTTACAATAATAAGATTTTTTTTTTTTTTAGATTTTGTTCAAAAGATAAAAAATTAAAAGTAAATTTTCTCTTTTACACAATGTTGGGATGCCCTAAACTACCATCAAGAAAAAAGTTTTATTTTTTGTCTAAAAAGAAGTTATTCTTAATTTTGGGTCATAACAGTGGAATTAACAAAATAAACGAGACTCTGTGTAAAATATCCTAATTTTGGCTCCAAATGTACTGCCAGATTTGATTCCTAGACTATTCCTCATGGCAGAGTTGGTATTTCATTTAAAATTGATATGGTCATTTCTTAATGTTTGGGGAAAAATCTAGTGTTCACCAAGTGTGCGAGCAACAGTTGAACAATTTTGTAATCTCATAAAAGGATGTAGGTGTCAAAGCTTTCCTTTTTAAGAATAAAAGTAAGAATTTAAATCTGTAAATATAAACACACACACACACGTAGTCACATACAGTCTGTGATTAGAAATAAACGACATATAAGCAACCTCTAGTTTACCAGAGTGTAGATAGAAAAGCTGTGAGAAACTTTGATTCATAGAAAATATTTGATTTTCAATTAAATATTTTCTATGTGGTAGCAAAGTGAAACTGCTCTATAGATGTTGTCAGTGATTCTGATATAAACACTACACCTTTTGTCAAATTCAGCATTTAGAGAGGGGAGATCACCTGATGACTACAAATCCTTATTCACGGGGATAGTCGTGATAAATGCTGTAAAGTTTGATAAAACTGCACTCTTCCTTTCCTTCATTTTTAAAAGGAGGATCAAAAACAACTTGAGGACTGTTCAAAGACAAACAATCTCTTTCTGCAGTCGCTGACTTCATCTCAAAAGCAGACTACTTTTATAATATATGGATCTGTAACCTCAAAGTTGATGTTAGGATGAACAGTATGTTTGTACAACGCCATCATGTGCTTAGGCATGAGAAGACCTCATTTAAAACTATGTAAAGGTAAAAGAAGAGCATGATTAAGTAATGTTGATACTGCTCCTACAGGTAAACTTACTAAGATGTGTTTGTGATCCATGCTAGTGTGTTCCTGAGTACGCACTTGTAAAATTGTCTGTTTTATACAAAAACAACACTGCCTCGTGAATTGGATGTGTACTTAGTTTAGCCCTTAAGTCAAATTAAGACTATTAATACTTTACTAAAATGCATTTAAGTGGACTTTTTTTTATCAAAAGGTGAACATACTGTATATTCAGGAGATCTTCATTGCCAATCAGAAGAGTAAACTGTCCCTGTGAACTGCCTTTCAGTGTGTGCAGTGAGTGTTCGGTGGACATCTCTCTGGTGTTTCTCAGTGTGCTTCGGTGTTGTTGCAGTGACACGCATGGTTCCTGTAAATCTGTGATAAAGTAGTTTTAGTTTATAATCCAAAGCAGCTTCTTCGGTCTGTTGTAGGACTGAGTGATGTGACAAATCATTTCAGGAATAGAAGTTTTGTTTTTGTCACACTGTTTTCAGGATCCCTGCTCATTTCCAGTGAAAGATTATAGAACAAACTATGTAAATAATAAATGCATAAGAGTACTGAGAATATTTAAGAGATGGGTGGTGCTCTCTCTGGTTGATTGTGATGGACATGTATTTCATTTTAACTCTGTTAATCTGATCTGAAATTTGTCCTCTTTAAGTTGAATGATACCATACCAGAAAATGTACTTTTTGAACCTGTTCATCTGAAACTGATGTAGTTTACTGTGTTTGGAGTGAATATAATGGAGGGACACATATTTCATTATTATGTTATATTTTCCCCTTTTTTCCATTCGGCAGGTAACATAGCAGAGATTTCATGGTTGAAATATGCAGGGATGTTTCACATGTGGCAGTCAGCTGAAACAAGTTCACTTACTGTTCAACAATACATTTGCCTTAACACTTCATTTTGCTGCTAACCCTACATGTTCATCATCCAGTCTCTTTTTCTGTCACTTGTTCTGCTTGTCCTGTTTTAGATATGAAACATGCTCACTGTGTTTAATGATCATATATCAGTTCTGTAGACAATCAGTGTTTCATAGACACCACCTCCAAATAGCACAAAGCAACGATCTAACAGAATGTATTTTACCACCATCGCTCACATTGTGCTGTTTGTATTTTTAGTGTTATACTTTAACTCTCAGCATAGATTTGGATGTTTAAAAAAAGGGATTATTTGCTTAAAGTTTACCTTGTTAATGCCAGGTTGAGTTGCCTTTCAGCAGGTGCAGCTGTATGGTTATCGTTCTCAGCTAACAGAGATGGAAGGATTGGTTTTGATGACGATTACTACACGTCTGTTTTTGACAAAGCAGCTAATTCTCATTCTGATGCTCTGAACAATTAATAAACAAACTGATTCAAATCCATGTGTGCGGTTTCTTTTCATTTTAAAGGGCCGGTTTTAACTTCAAAAGTATTTATCTCAAATGATTTTTCTAGACTTTTTTTTTCATCAACATTTACAACCAGGAACAGAAAGTTGCACTGACATGTTGGCTAATCCACAAAAACCCTGTCTGGTTTCAATCTTGAAAATCTCCAAAAGTACATTGTGCACCACCTTTCACCTGCAGAGATCCTGCAGAGATTATGGAAACACACACATTGAAACCTGCAGGTTGGCAGAGGAAAGTTCTGCACAGTGGGTAAGTACTTTCTCTCCCTGTCTGTTTTTTTTCTCTCTCGCACACAAACACAGCTGCTAGTCCTTTTTCAGGTGGGTTACTGACTGACACTCTGGTAAGAAACTCAGTTTGTGCAGATGTCTTTCTCCCCAGCCACGGTTTCAAACATCAAAAAGTACTAAACTAAATGTGATATAGTCTTATATATACTTTTCATATAATCATTCTAATTGCAGACGATCTCTTTTCATTTCCGACATCAAATTGAAGCATTAGGATTATTTCAGTCTTAAAATTTGTTTTATTTATGTATGAACTTGGTAAACACAGCTCTTACAACATGATTTTCTTCTTCTGCTTCTTATAGATGTTCTGAGTTGTATTGCATCAGTTTGGGAGACAACAAACCGAGCACATGTGAACTCCCTGTTCCCATAATATGAGACAAATAAAAAGCCAGAGGTCGGAAGCTTAAATAAAGTATCAGGATTTGTCAAGCACTTTTTGTAAACTCCCTGTCTCCTGTACCTTTCTCTGAAAAAGTTCAGTGTTGTAGTTTTCTTTTATTCTTTTATAGATGCACAACCAGACAATGCCAGCAGGAGGCACTGTTGTACTGTAGCATGCAGAATTACTGAATTTTTACCACTGACTTTAACATGTATGCTCCCAGACTTTCATTTTTTTGTGGGTGATCCAATGGGCTTATGTTCAGAGGAAATTTTCATGGGAACACAAAAGCACTGCAATATGATTCGAATGATATCATCTGGAGTAAGAAGGCAGAAGTTATAGATGTCTTGTCAGAGGTGAATTTGACCTGTTTCAGTGAGATATTACCTGCTTTTACCTCATTATTCATACTCTATGGAGTATTATCATTATAAATCCAAGTGCCAGTGCTTGCAAGCCTGAAATAAACATAATCAGCTGCTTCATGTTGTACTTTTGTCTGATCGAGCAGATAAACTCCTTCAACTCTGTTTCTTTTTTAGATCCTGCGCTCAACCAAGGAGCAGCCTAGTCTGGTCTCTCTGTGTTCTGTGCAGTTTTTGCTCTATTTTGTCATGTTTTTGTTGACTGTCGATGGAGGTTTCTGCTTGGAAAACAGTTTGTTCATGAGAGGAGCTTCTTTCACTGAGAGAGAGCAGGTCTGGGTGATGGCATCCAGTTCCAGCAGACAACTGGAGGTGTTTTTCTTGGTTGCTGTGCTGGTGTGGAGATGAAGGCAGAGTTGAAGGCTAGGAAATGGAGCTATAAACCCTTTCCTTCATCAATCATCTTGGGAAATGTCAAGTCTCTGCCCATAAGTGAAGAGCTGAAGATATTAGTGAAGAAAGTATACTATGAGTGCAGTCTTCTGCGTTTTACTGAAACTCAAAACAACTCTGACTCCAGTGTGGCTCTACCTGGCTTTACTCTCATTAAGATAAGACAGAGATGCTAAAGCTAGTAGCAAGAAGAAAGGCGGGGTCTGGCTTTATCTGTTAATCAGAGATGGTGTAACCCTTCACACATATCTTTCAAGGAGAGGATGTGTTGTCCAGATATTAAACTGCTGGCTGTTGCTCTTCGGCCATATTATGTTCTAAGGGAGTTCAGTCATATCATAACAATACATGTATGTATCCCACCCAAGGCAACGGCTGAAGTTCCATGTTTGGTTTCAAGTTTCATTTGATTGGAATCAAGTTTGACTCACTGGAGGATGCGGTGGAGAGATGCACACTGAAGAAGGTAGAGGCCTTTCTGAAAAACAAGGATCATCCACTTTATGACACCTTGATGGACTAAAAAATAACAGTGGTGGACTGCTCCGCTCTCTTCGCTGCAGGACTGAGAGATTCAGGAGATCTTTTGTTCCCACGGCTATCAGAATTTTTAGTTCTTCTGTAAAAAGTAGAAGAGATGAGATTCCAAATAAACGAATTTCCCTTTTTCATCACTAAAGGGATCAATAAAGTTCTTATATTGTATTGTATTATGTTGTATTGTAATCATAATTACGCTAAGATGCAAAAACTCTTTTGCTACATCACACATATGAATCATTTGCCAACACCTCCTCCTCCTCCTCCTCTCTCTTTTCCTTTTTTTCCTCCATCCCTTTATGTTCCTGGCTGACTGACTGATACACTAACTAGAAATGGTCTTATCAGTGGAGAGCATCACCACCTTTCCTCCACCTTTCAGTCCTTTCATTCATCCATCCTTGCATTCAGGCAGCCATTGATTAGCTCAGCAGCCAGCCTTCACATTGCCTCCTTCCACTGTCTATTTGTCTGAGTGTGTTTGATACACACACAATCACACACACACACAAATCACACACACTTGCACACATACAGGAAATTAGAAACTGTTGCAAACACTCACATACCTGAAAGCGACAGCCTGCTGGACATTTTCTCATGAGGTAAAGATGAAGGCAAGATTAGGGTGCGAATTTAAACCACCTCAGCTGATAAGAAATGTGATTTTTTAACAGCAAAAAGACCAAAACAGCCGAGAATACTTCTGAACACGAGTTTCTTTTTCATACTTCAAGTTCAATTTAAGAAGTAAAAAAGTCTAGCAAGCAGTAACTATGTTCTGGAAGATTTTTATTAGAAAATTTTGTCAATTCATGAGCCTCCTGAGAGAAATGCGTGGACAAGATCTGGTATACCTTGTTGCATAGAGAATAACAGTCCCAGTGCCAGAGTTACCAAAGGAGTCCAATTGCAGCTAGGGCCAAAACAGAGTGAAGTGTTGGTACTCAGAAAAGCCTGGGATGAAAGCCTTTTCCAAGTGGCATATATTATAAAACCATATTAAGGTTTGAAAAGCCCAGTTGGTCCAATTAAAGCAACACCAATGCAGACAACACAAGCCAAGATCAAGTAATTAATACAGATAAAATAATCCTCTCATGACAGTGACTGAAGCCAAAATACAAGAGCTAAGGAGGAATGTTAGACTCCAGGAGCTGGTGGGTTCTGGTTTAATTTGGAGTGTTACACAAGGTTGAGAAAAACACAGTTTTGTCTCCATTTTCTACCTGGGTTCACTCCTCTCTTCTATGGTGATACGTGATTGTGGTTCAATGTGATAGAAATTCTCCAAGGACCAAACAGTTTGAAAGTAAATGTGCATAATTAAGCCTTTAAACCTGATAAAAACTTCAATAAAAGCTACAAACACTTTGAAAAAAGGTGTTTCTTTATCACCCGTTCTCGTATTCTTGTTGAACAAAAACAAAACCCAAAGAGGTCCTCTTCGTGTGAAATTTTGACATACTAAAGATGTGTCAGAGTAGATACTGTTTCTACATTTCACACTGAAGGTGTAAACAACACTAAACAGACAAATTGTGCAACATTTTTTCTGCTTTCTGTGCCTCCAAAATGGAAAAAATACCTTCACTGCGACTGCAGCAAACTTTCTCAGAAACTGTGCTATCTATTCAAAGAAATACCCAGAAAGTATTACCCATTTATCTTCAATCTGGGTAATAATAAAGATGTGGTTTCAGGCTATTATAATATATCATTTTTTTCCCATTACAGCTGTATTAAATTATGGCAGAACAAATAACATAATACCAGATACATTTAATAATGTTCACAAGGACACAATATTCTTCAGAGTTAATTAGCTTTTGTCACGGAGTGCCAATATATATGTGGCTTACTGGGTTGAATAGATAAAGGTTATCAGTGTTATCAGGTGTGGGGAATATATGGAGCTTTTGGACTATTACACAGAGAGGACAAAAGAGAAGAGAAGAATAAAGATACGTAAGAGTCATGAAGCTACAGAAAAGAAATGTTTCAGTGCCCACTCAGGATGATGGACTGAATGGCTCTGAGGCATGATTACGGTGTTTTCAGGTGAATAGTCTCCTGTCCTCCACTTCCCTCCCCACAGGCCAAGAGCTCAGGACGAGTCACAGCAGGCAGGAATCTGAGCCACACGCCAGAAGCTGCTCAGACTGTGGATGCCAGATCTGTGAGCTTGGCGGAAAACTCTGGCATTTCCTTCTCCAAAAATATATCACTGACTTTGCAGGGGGAGTGGAAAGCAGAAAATTGTTTTTTATTTGGGTGTACATGAGACCCTTTGAGGAGGACAGGTCCTGTGAAAGAAGTCAACTTGAATTTTGAATATTTCTTTTTCGCATTTTGACCGAGAATTTGTCAAAATGCCCATCCTGTAAAACTACTTGATGGATGTAAAGTTTTCACACAGTTTATTTACTTGCTGTTGATCACATTGCTCATCATTTGGTGCATTTTTCTGGATTTCAAATTCGCTTCCTAAGACAGAAAAAGGACAATCTTGCAATCTGCTCTTAAACAGCAGCAGACATTTTTTACTATGTGCTCATCAAAGTTTAGCAAATTAGCATATCATTCCTAACTTAGACTAGAAAAACGTGAAGTTGAGGAAATATCAGTTTTGCGGCTGTGTAACTGTTCCCACTATAAGGTTTTTGGACATATTGTCATTAAACAACATGTTTGCACAACCATGGAAGTTACATAGATTTTAAATGTATGGATTAATAAATAATCTTTTTTACTCATCACTTATGACCCACTGGAAATGTGAGGCTTTGTGTCTGAAATTGCAGGCGCTGCCCTCATATGTCATTGCTTTGTTTTGCTGATAACATTTCTGGCTGTCAACTCTAAGACGACAAGTTTGTCGCAAACAACAGCATGAAGGGTGTGAGGCAGCAGGAGACATCCTCCACTGTTGTGTT